ATAATCACTCGAGCTGGTTTGCTGATATGTTTATTTTGCAATGAGAAACTGTCAAACATTAAAAAGTCACAAAGCTGAAGTCAGCTTCTCACTCAAATTTTCGAACAAAAAGCTGTCGAATGAGAAGTGACTTCAGTATCGTACAAAGTCTAACTTGAGAGACATTTTACAAGAAACTGTTCTACTTTTGAGGGAAAGTTTCCTGCTAGAGATGTGAGAAAAGCGGCTATAGCTGAGCTAAAGCTTAAAGCAGAGCAAAGTAAGTCTGTGTTTTTGTTTATATATTTAGCCTATACTAGTACATTAGCACACACTGAGACATATTTACAGCCAAGATGGTGAAAAGTTACTTAAATAAAATGGAAGTGAAATGTTGTGGCTCCCAAGGTGGTTAGATTTTTGTTAAAACTTGACAAAATGGCTCTTCTTAACATTTGGGTTGCGACTCCTGACCTAGGCCTTCTAGCTTCTGGTGGCAGCTCTATGCAAGGGCTCTTTACTGATAGAGACACTGTAAAACCTCCACATACAAGATAAAAATATGGAAATATCGGTTACAATATTAAAATATTTGGAATGCCTTTTACAAGCTTCAAATGTCTCTAATCTAAAACAGCTAAAAATGTGTGCACCAGTGTTAGCTTAGCGCTAACATACTGTTAGAAATCACACAGGGACACGTACAGAAATTAGCATTACCATAGAGATGGGTTTTTCTTGTATTTTCACATTTGTGGCCTGATTTGAAGGCCTAGCTCTAATAGCCACGGTTCAGCACTGCTAACGAGTAATAGCGGCTTATGTAAGCTAGTTAGCCTGGTGCTAACTCAATGCCTAAATCATCACACTTGCCTCATATTGTTCAGTAATAAACTTGCTTATGTGGTTTCTGACACTGTGACAGAGTGGGCAGCAATTCCAGGCTTCTAGATGGCTGCTGCTGTTTCAGCTATGCTAAAGTACAGGGTGTCCCAAAAAAAACTGACATCATTTCGTAGTCTAATAACAGCCAATTCTCCCTCAAATGATCTTAAATTTTAACAAAATGTGTAAAAACTAACCAAGTTTGATTTTTAATGGTTTTTCAGGTTGAAGAACGGCGTTCCCTAGAAACAAAAAGGCATTTTGTGTGTTAGAACATGCTCGAACACAGTCAAATGAGAGTGTGCAGCGCGCATTTTCCAGAAAATTCAATAAAAATGCACCAACTGGAAAGCAGATTTGGACATGGCACAAAAAATTCAGAGAGGAAGGCTGTCTGTGCAGGGCAGAAGGATCTGGAGACCACCAGTATCGGAAGATATTACATTTGTGAAGCTGTGAAATCAGTTATAAAATCTACATTTCTCTGAATTTCTTGTTCCAATTTAGATAAAAATGCTATTATGATACTATATGATCTTGTACTGTTCAACATGAAGCCTATTTAATTTCATTTGCCAGGACATGTAGTTACTCAGACATTCACATCTCAAATGATGTCAATTTTTTGGGACACCCTGTACTTTAGTCCATGTTTACAGAGAACAGTGAGTCATATGATGTCAGAATCCACATAATGAAGTCTGTTAGAGACACTGAACAGCTCCACAGAGTTAGAGGGAGTCTGTGATGATTTAGGCCTGCAGTTAGCAGCATGCTAATTGCAAGTTAGCTTACATTACTTGGTAGCTACATTAGCCTCGTAGCTCCAGATTTCAGACGCCAAACATGACCTTGCTAATCGAATATATTTGAGGTAAGAGGGGAAACTGTGCGATTTGCAGAGCTGTTCCTTTAAATGTTTTCCATCCTGTTATCTAATGATGAACAAATCTGCTCCAGATTAATTTTAGCAAGTACCTGCAGCACCTGTCAGCGCTTCATAAATCATATTTCAATCAAAGCCTCCTAATCCTGTGGCTGCATGGATCTGTGCAGTATTGATTTGTTAGAACAGTTTGACTTGCTAAAATTCAGGAGTAAAAGCTTTGAGTCTTTTCCACCTCAGCAGGGAGGAAATCACTGCTGTCAGAAGAAAACCTTGTATCTCCATTTTTGTTGTTTTTCAGTTTTTGACATAATTTGAAAAAGCCTGTTGCCCTTTATATCGTATGTAAATTTCATGATGAATGGACTAAAAGAAACAGCCAAAAATGACTTGGAAAAAAGTCTGGTTCCACTGACTTACATTAAAAGTAAAGTAGGTTTTTTCCTTCTCCTGTAAAGTTACCATTTTGGAGATACGAGGTTTTCTTCCAACAACAGCGATATTGTCCCATGTCCATGTGAAGAATGGACTACTTTTCTTGTCATAGTCATCATACTGTGAATAAATAAATAAATAAATTTCATTTTGGGCTCCGCAGAGTTTTCCTCACTGTCTGTTTCTTTTCAAGAGCTTAAATAAAATCTTTTTACCATATTTATTATCATTACTATTATTATTATTGTTGTTGAGCAGAGGGTAGACTGAGTTTGCTTTCCTTTTTAAATCTTTCACTTTTAAATCCTGTGAGCCACCACTGGATGTCAGTAAAGACGCCCTGCCCCCCCCCCTTTTATTTTACTATTTACAGTCTTCTGTCCCTTCATAATACTGTTATTCACCTTAACATAAAGCACAGCAGCAAAAAATGCTCTTGGCCTGAACTTCACCAAGGGGTAACGTCTACATTAAGCATGTTTCATGTTCAAATAATGGTGATGCCGTTAAATAAAACAGTTAAATAATTACACATAAAATGATATGAGAGCTAAAAAAAATTTGGAAATGAGAGAAAATAGTCCAGCACTGAGTCTGAGTGGCACTAACTTGGAAACACCCCAAGAAGAGACATTATTATCTGTAGGTAAACTAAAGGAATTCATAAAAACCGGCCACAAACAGGCTTAACATGTTATAAACATGTTGTTACATATAACTCATGTTTACTGTAGAGCCAGTTTGGCACCGATGAATAAATGTTTAAATATAAAGTGTTTAAATATAAAAAGGTCTCTGATAGTGTCAGCAGCTCATTAGTATCCTTTGGGGAAAATAGATACATGTGAGTTTTTCAAATACATATAAAACTGACCAAAAAGGTTTATTTAATGTACTTTAGTGTTTGAAATTTTGGACATTTTGGAACGACGTATTCTCACATAAAAATAAAAACCTCTATTTTTACATTTTATTTATAACAATATTAACATTTTTGGGAAGCCTGTTTCCGCCACTGAAAAAATATTTAGCGACTTATGTCATAATAAGCCATAATAATGAGGAATATTTATAATAAGTCATAATAATGAGGAATATTTATAATAAGTCATAATAATGAGGAATATTTATGACTTAGTAACTCATAATTATGACTTAATATCTCATAATAATGAGAAAATTCTCAGAATAATGCCTTAATATCTCATAAGAATTATTATCTCATATGAATGAGAAATTTTTCTCATTATTATGAAAAGGCCATAATTATGAGATGCTAACTCATGACAGTCATTATGAGATGCAAAGTTTTTAAAACGTTTCAAACTATGATATTGAATCTCATGAAATATTAAGTCATGATTATGACAGTCATTATTATGAGAAACTAAGTCATAGTTGTGAGATACTAATTCATAATTATGAGTCTTTATTATGAAATGGAAAGTCATAATCATCACATGACCAATATCACAAGAAGCTTATAGTTATGATTATCCATAATTATGCTGAGTAAAAATTGCGCGATATTAAGTGTTAATAACAACATTGAATCTCATTATGAGATGCCAAGCCATAATTATAAGACGCTACGTCATAATTATGGAAAACTTTATTATTATTATCATTATTATTATTATTAATAATATTATTATTACTTTGGGAATAACTATTTTTTTCCAGTAGCAGAAACGAGATTCCATACATTTAGCATCTAAACGCCTTTTTTTGATAAACATTTTCTTCATTTTTTTTTTTATTATTTCGTCTATAAAACAAAAAAACAACAACAACAGAATCTCGTAACAACCACAGCAGTCAGGCAGGCAGAAGAGCGCGCGCGAGGGGAGGAGGGCGCGAGGGAAGGAGGGAGGGAGGGAGGAGGAGGAGGAACGCACGCAGAGCAGAGCCGCCTTCAAAAATGGCGTCTTGGAGGGGAAAATGACTAATATTATGAAAAAGCGGAGGCCTCGGTGCTGCTGAGCGACCCGCCGAACCGCCGCCGTAACCCGGACTCCGCTTCGAGAGCCGAGCCGAGCACGTCCGATCACGTCCGAGCGCAGAGGCGAGAGGAGAGACCGAGAGAAAAGAGCGGAAACCGAGCAGCAGCAGCGGCGGCGGCGGCAGCAGCTCCGTCTGACTCTGATGCGTCGACAGACGGAGCTGTGTTAGCTCGCTGCTGCTAGCGACGAGCAGGAAAACTGGGCTGGGAGAGCCGCGACTCAGCGCCGCTCGCAACCCGGAGACTCGCCGCTCCTCCGCTTTTGTTTGTGCTTCTCTCGGGCCGCGTCTCTCCCTCCCCGAAAATGTAGCGACCTCTCCGCGGAGGCGTTTTTCTCAGCTTTTCTGGTGTCGTTATTCCAGTAAAGTAGCCCGAGCGGAGAAAGGGGAGGAGAGGAGGAGAGAGAAAGAGAACAGGACGAGCGCGGTCACACATTATGTAAATGTTTTTGTCTCTTTCTGAAGCCTTTCCGATCATGGCGTTCATTACGGTGATTTTGAACCAGAGAAACCTGAAAAGGAGGTGAGGGGGGGCTCTTTTTTTCTTCTTTTGGAGGTGGTCGCTCAACACCACCACCACCACCACCCCCCCTCCTCTCTCTTTCTCTCTGTATCACGCACTCTCTCTCTCCTCCCCTCCATTTCCCTCTCTCTCTCTCTCCCAATATGCTATTTTTCACTCTTATTGGCTCATCGTGGGAGAATGATTAGAAATTAACTTCACGGGAATAGGGGCTTTCTTTTCTTTCTTTTCCTCCTTTTCTTTTACCTCGACCCCATTTTCCTCCATCTAGCGAGTGAACACGGCCGAGAAATGGACAGAAATTACCCGGGAGCTGGCTTTGGGGATCTGGGCGCAGGAGCCGGATGGAGCTACGAGAGATCCGCCAAAGCGAGGTGAGGCATGCGGGGGGACGCTGCGCCTTTAGGCCGGGGAGAGGAGAGGGTAGAGCGGGGAGAGGAGGACCGTCCTCCCGGGGGGGGGCGGTGGAAGAAGAGGCTGCTCTTCATAATGAACTAGGGATGAGAGATCATGCATATGTCTGTCTCTGACGTAGGATGTCATAAGATGTTTTTATTATTATTTAAGGTGGAGAAAGCAAAGCAGAGGTGGGGAGGGGGGGATTTCAGGTAATGGCAAGGAATGTGATTGACAGACTAATGTGAGAGTCTGCACGGGGAAAGATGGGGAGGAGGAGAGGGAAGAGAAAAGATGGGGGGCGGGGTGAGTCCTCGTCGCACGATTCTCATGGAATTATTAAGCATCAGGATAAAAAAAAATAGCAAAACATCAGAATTTCCCCGTTCCACCTTAAATGGTGCAGCAGTTACGTTTTCGCCTCAGGCGCCAGAATGTAACCGCTGCACCATTTAAGGTGGAACGGGGAAATTCGAATAAGAAGCCAACTTCAGCTCGGTGAAAACGTCGGAATTGCCCCAGTATAACGCGAAGAGGGTAAAAAACTGGCCTATTTTCCATCTAAACCGCTCAAGAGGTGGAAAATAATCGTGTCACAGTGCATATTTATTCATAGCCCGGCTAACGTTACGACATTAGACGACCAGAACCGAGCCTGCAGCTCTTCCCCAGCCCGTGCTTTTCATTTTAACACATTAAAGAAGCCGTAAATATGAAGATAATGACCACATTTGACAAGTGAAATCAAACCAAGGCCTCCTTCACTGAGAGCTAGCTAGCCGTCCAGCTGACGTTAGCTAGCCTAGCTCGGGAACGGTAATGGTGGCCGATGTCGCATATAGGCCTGGCTCTAAAGAGGCCGGAATAGCAGCGAAGCACTTCGCTCCTGTGGGCAAAACTCAGAGGAGACCCGAAATGTACACGGCCTGAAGGTTTTTTGTCCAAACCAGCCGCCTTGCTTCAGCCTTTTTCCCTCCACACCGCGCTCGGAGGCAGCCGCTAGTGCTGCTGCTGCTGCTGCTAACCTGTTAGCCGTGTGCTAGCACTGCACTGTCCTGCAGGGATGGTGTTTGCGAGTCTGTTTGCTGGAGAATCTGAGCTTTTGCAAAAAAATAAATTGCGAGGGCTTTCGCAAATGCATGTGCGTGCGTCTCGATGATGCGCTGCAAAATGCAAATACAGTGATAATCCACTTGCCCACTTCAGCAGCTGTTGGTTGCTGCTCACTGGCCTGAATTCAGGTCATCTGCACTCCTAAGGAAGGGTTCTTTAGTGAAGGGAATGGGCCTATTTAGAACCATTTGCATGGTTATGTGGTGCTTTGCGTGGTGAAATGGTTCTTAGGATTGATGGAGAATGTGTTGTGTGTTGAAAATGGTTCTACATAGCACCGAAAATGGTTCTGCTACTGTTAGGATGTCATGCTGGTAACAGTAAATAAACCTAGGGCTGGGCAATATGACTGTATATATCATTATCGTGATAAATTATATCACGTTATGTTATAAGCTTTATAATATGCTCTTCAGAATGTATAGTGTATATCGTCAGAACATGTAGAAGACTAATCAACTGCATATTTCATTATAAAGAGCAAATTGAGTCCCGTTTAACTGGATTTAGTGCCAAATATTGGGAATTTTTTTTTAAAATCATTTCAGTTTTTGATAGTGATTTTTTTAAATGTTGCTGGTTCCCGTTTCTCTGTTCCAACTGATCAGATGTCTGCAAAAATAATATCATGACATGAAAATTACTTGAAGTATCGCTAAAGAACCATTTCCATGCAAAGAATTGTTTAAACATGAAATGTTTTTGTATAGAACACATGGTTCTAAATAAAAACATTGCATTTCCTAAAGAACCCTTAAAGAACCGTCTTTTTTAAGAATGTAGATGTAATGCCATTAGGACTGAAAGATTACTCGTTTTTATCCTGAAATCGCCAGAGCTGCGATTTTTATTATAGTCTTATAGTCTGTTATTAACACAGTTGGTTCATTGCAAACAAACATCCATGTGTTGTGACATTACAACCACAGATAACTGGCAGGCTGGCGCACTGTGTTAAGTGCCCAAGTCTCAAGCCAGAAAAAAATTGTGCGCTGGTCATCAAAAATAGGCCCTTACTTCTATTTATAGAAAACAATATTAATTTAAATCGTAATTGCAATGCTGGTCAGAAAAGTCACGATTAGATATTTTGTCAAAATCGTTCAGCCCTTGTTTTCAGACAAGAATATGGTCATCGTGACTTTGCCTCCTGCGTCATGTGAAGTTATGCACCTCATCATGCACAGATCTTATTATCGTGTTATAAAGGGATAATAGGCTGTAATTAAAGACGCCTGACAGCAGGGTGGGGATGAAATGGCATGGGACAAAAAACAGTTAACGATTATGTTAGATTCTGTTTCAATTTGAGCCCATTTATATCCAGTCCGCTCAGTGATCAGGTCATGAATATGTCACGGAAGATCAACCAGCATGGAAGATCATCTCAGCTCAGTCGATCGCAGCGCAACAGTTTGCAAAGCGTGAAGCACCACACAACAATTCGCGTTCGTTTTGTTTTGGTTAGAGAGTTCCGACATGCAGTTTTTATGGATTCCATTAGTAAATTTCATTGCTATATTTGTAGGTATTGTTTAATGATGTTAATCTCCTCTTCCTTCTTTTTTGGCCAGTTTGGTTTATGGCAGCTCCAGATCTTCACATCCAGAATCTGAACTCCTCCATCGCCAAGCCTACGCCACTCCTCACCCCCTACAGGGCTATGCAACCAATCACCACCCTGGCAGCTCTGGACAGGGTGGAGCATGGGGGGCAGCTGGGAGGAGTCTGAGTGAGTGACATTGCATTTATGTTAAAGATTCCATATTTTAGTTATTCATTTTATCTATTAACTCTAAGGTCGATGGCTATTTCTGCCACTTTATCCACTCTTCTCTATTAATAGCACAATTTTCTGTGCTCTTGTGGTTGGTATAGTATAGTGAGTAACACCTCTGCCTTCTACGCAGCAGACGGGGGGTTCAGTTCCCCACCTGGGCAGCACCCTACACAATACTAATAAGAGTCCTTGGGCAAGACTCCTTACACTGTTTTCACCTACCTGTGTAAAATGATCAAATTGTAAGTCGCTCTGGATAAGAGCGTCTGCCAAAATGCCATAAATGTAAATGTTGTTGCATTTATTTTCACACATGCAGAACATGATCTAACAAAGATTATAAATCTATAGATTTGCATTCAGTTTGTGTTACAAACTACCTTTTTGAACGAGTAAAGACACGAATGATAATATGAATCACATATCAGATGCATGCTAGCGCTACAGTGACTGAACAAAAATAGTACTAGGTGCGTACCAATGCGAACAGAGCTCTCAGCCTTTAAGGTCAACGTATAAATAAGGCTATTTCTGCTGTTTAGTCCACTTTTCTCCATTGATAACGTGATTTCTCCGTTAATAACTTCGACGTGTTTTCTTGTTACTTTGAATAAACAATATAATAATAAGCGCTTACCAGTTCAAGCGCTCACACTGACTCAGAAAACAAAATCAGTGCATCTGGCAATAAAGGGAACCTCATGCAGCTTCTGTGCAGAGATGGTAAACACAGTAGATCACAGAAAGCTTCAACATGCTGTACATTTAACTCTGGCTAAGTGGACACACACGAGCCTTAACTGCTCTGACCGCAAACCCCAGATTCTCTGAATGGTGAGACGGAGAAACGTTCGGCAGTTTTCCATCTTTCAGGGTCTCTGTTTTCAGCGCACATGCTGTTTCTAGACCTAACTGCATGTGCAACACATTCATTAGCCATTTCTAACAAATGTGACTGTCTAACAGATCTCAGGGTGGGGAGCGAAAGCCCACCCAAGCAGAGCAGCCGAACAAAGCACAGTGTTCTGTCTGTGAGTATTAGTTTGACGCGAAGCTTGCAAACGCATTTCCCTTATTGCAAACATTTTTTACCGGTGAAACTGACTTCCCACACAACAGTAGATTATGTGGATTACAAAAGCAGATTTAATTCTGGAATACATTCAAACATCACGAAGCTCGGTGCCAGATCGGCCTTGATGCAAGAATGAACGTAGGTTTATGGAGCCTCTGTTGCTTGCGTGTTGTTTCATGTTTCGCCTGCTCTGACACATCTGATTAACCCTTTAAACTCTAAGGGGCTGTGTCTGGGTCCAAGCTGCATTACTTGCGTAACTACATAACATACGTTTTAGTTCCACAGTAATTAATATATAATTTATAACAATGTAAATACGATAAGTTATAAGCTGTAGGATTAATAACTGAGTAATTATTCAGTTGTGTTAGAGTGAATAGTGCAATGTTGGGGGTCCTCCAGGACTGGAGCCGGGAATCATCTAAGCCAGGGGTCGGCAACACGTGGCTTCGGAGCCGCATTTGACTCTTTTACTGTCCTGTTGTGGCTCCACAGCAGAATCAGATTTGAAGGTAAAAATAAAATAATCCTCCTTTACAGTAAAATAAAGCTCTGCTGATCGTTCAACACAGTTTAACAATAAATGGTCTTAAACTCTGGAGTTAATGTAGAACTGCTGATTCACCCTTTAACCCTGAAGATCAGCGCAGACTGCTGGTCACCATAGCAACACAGACAGCCTCGCCTAGCTAGTGGCTAACGAAACGGCAAAGAGAGAGATTTAAGATGAATGTTGTTAATTTGGAGACACATGGACTTTATAATCACTCCAGCTGGTTTTCTGATATGTTTAATCTGCAGCGAGAAACTGACAAATACTAAAAAGTCACAAAGCTTAAGTCTCGCTCGCCAGTTCTTGTTCGAATTTTCAAGTTTCACCTTAAATGGTGCAACAGTTAGCTACACAGTTAGCTACATTCTGGTGCCTCAAGCACCATTTAAGGTGGAGCGAACAAGAAGCTGGCAAATGAGAAGCGACGTCAGCCTTGCAAAAATCAAACCTTGAGAGACATTTTACAAGAAACTGTTCTACTTTTGGGGAAAAGTTTCCTGCTGGAGATGCGAGAAAAGCAGCTATAGCTGAACTAAAGCTTAAAGCAGAGCAAAGTAAGTCTGCATTTTAATTTATATCATACTTTTTTTAGCCTGTACTAGTACATTAGCACATACTGAGACATCTTTTCACCCAAGATGGTGAAACATTACTTAAATAAAATGGACATGAAATGTTGTGGCTCCCAAGGTGGTTAGATTTTTGTTGGATATTTTGGCTCATCTTTCAAACACTCAAATCTAGAAGATTTGCCAGCCTGGTTTGCTATATAAATAAATTAAAAAAACAAATAGTATTCAGCCAAACATTTATTGTCTGTACTGCTTCTTGTATAAAGAGCAGTTTACCTGCACGTCCAGCACTGTATTGTGCTGTTTTCAGTGCAAATATTATTCAGTGATACATTTTTGTTTTTTTGGTAATTAGTTTACAGAGACAGTGAGTAACAGTACATTTCATATGGCCTTTTTACTGTGTCTTTGCTGACCTGGGAGCTGGACTTGACAGCTGTGCGCATCCAATTTAGGCGTGTGCAGTAGCAGCATATGTAATAGCGGCTTATAGGTAATTGGTCTATTCGTGTGATTCCTAACCCTGGTCCTGGAGCACCCCTGCCTGGCACACGTTAGTGTTTTTCTTGCTCTAAAATATCCACTTAGGAAAGGCTTGTAAATTAGGTTATTACTGGGATCAGGTGTTAGAGCAGGGAAAACACCAAAATATGCAGGAATAGGGCTCCTCCACTAGCAGGGTTGGAAACCACTAATCTTTTCTGATAAAAAAAAATTGGGGATATTTCTAGTAAAGCTCAGGAAAACCGGTCGTTATTTTTTATTTTTGTGTTTTTTGCAAGTAGCCACTATATTTTCATTTTGCACAGCTTCGCAATTTCTGGAATCAGTTTCTAAAAAGCTTATTTTTGTATTGAAAAAAATACTAGTATTTGTTGTAAGCAGTCACTAAGCCAGTTGTCTAGATATAGTTTTTCAACCACAGTAAAAATTCACATTTTCTCCTGGGGTTAGTTGCTGCCAGTTCCCATCGTTGTTGGACTCTTCCAGTTGTGTACCTTTTTTAACACGTGTAGAGTAAATACACCTCACCCTTTTTGTGACCTAATTAGTTTAATTATCGACCAGTATTTCCAACTTGGAACGATGCACTCCGATTCAGATGAAGTGTAAATGCATAGCTGTATGTGAAAGAGATGTTTACAATGGTATCATAATTTCCAGGACCTTTGGCAAAGATTTGGCATATATATTTGATAAGTCTTTTTCCATTGTCCTCTGAGGCATTCCATTGTCCTCTACCTCAAGCCAACACTCTCCATTTGGCAGGGTGACCTTAAACTGCTCCAGAGTGTTTCATTCCTTTGACAGTGGTTTGTGGAGGTTATACAAGCTGTGTACACATTCAAACTCTTGTGCCAGCAATGCTAAATTTCATTATATTTCCTAGTTAGATGTGTCTGCATGTATTTGTATGTGTAGTAAACATGGAAACAGGCTATTTTTTATGGTTTTGTTTATTTAACATTGCAATTTGTGTTCTGATTCGCAGGCTTATCGGGACTTTTTGATGCTGGGTTACACCACGCAAGTCCCTCAGGTCCAGATCCGTCTGTAATGAACCTGATCTCAGCTTTGGAATCCCGGGGTCCACAGCCACCGCCCTCTGCCTCCTCTCTTCTCTCCCAGTTCCGCACTCCATCTTGGCAGACTGGTAAGTTTTAGGGTGGTGGAGTTTATAAGTGTTTGCTTGTTTGTTTTGTAATGAGGAAAAAGACACTTGCTGACATGAAAAACAGCAAATGAATAGATATAGGCTAAATATTGCACACGTCACTAAACATTTTAAGAGCAATCAGCCAGAGCACTGTTTCCATAGCAACAACTTGAAAGGCACACATTAGAAAATGTTAATTGGCTTTCTAATTGTGCTGTGCCATGAGAACCCTTTGTACATTACTCATAGCTCGCCTTTTTTCCATATGGGATTGTTAAGACTTCATTGTTTGTTTTTGATACTTATTGATAATTCACATCATCGTGTATCTCTCTTTTGTTTTATCACTCTCTAGCGATGCACACACCTGCCCCTGCAGAACTTTTCATCTCCGGGGCCCTTCCTGGTTCTGGATCATTTCCATCCTCCTCTGCCTTATCAGCCTATCAACACCCAGCATCATTTTCTGGGCGCTCATTTCCTGGGGTGACCCCTTCACTTTCGCTACAGGACACTCCTACATTCAGCCCCACTTCCAATGGCTTGCTGTCACCCCATGATCCTTTGCTGCACATCAAGACACCCTCTCAGTCAGGTCTGGGCTTCGATCGCCTGTTGTCATCTCAAGGTGCTGCTGCAGCGTACCGTGGGAGCCATGATCCTAGTGGTGGTGGTGGTGTCACGAGTGCCCAAGCCTCCTCAGCAGCTTCAGCTTCTGCTCGCCATCTGCAGTCTCACCAGTTCAACTTGCTGTCCTCACAGCTTCAGGACCAGTCCTCACAGTTATACAGTGCATCTGTGTTTTCCTCTACTCCTGCTCCACCTCAGCCAAGCTCCCAAGAGCGGACCGTACCACGACAAGACAGTGTCATTAAGCACTACCAGCGTCCCTCGCCAGCACAGGCGACTGCCTCCACACCTCACCCCCTCCAGCACTACCTCAGTTGTGGAGTGTCTGGGTATCAGCAGGCCCCTCATCCTCGTCATGCTGGCCTCTCCTGCAGTCCACTAGGAGAGCACAGTCCTTCGTCTGACCATAAGCCTTCCCCCAGAACGGAGCAGTACCGACCTATCATCCAGCCCTCTTATGGATCTTCCTCATCCTCATCTTCTGGTGGGCCAGGCAAGGGGTCAAAAAGCAGTTCCAGTAGTGGCTACTCTTCTTCCGGTTCTGGGTCCTCCTCCAGAACCCCCCATACACCACCTTCTGCATCTTCTGCCTCATCTTCTTCCTCTTCGTCTTCTTCCTCCTCAGCATCTGCAGGAGCTCGCCAGTCTAACTCCATTCCAACCTCTAGCTCTGCATCTGCATCCTCACGACAACAGCCACCGACTCAGTCTGTGCCTCATCCCCCACAAACACATTCCCAGCCCCCTCCTAGCACTTCTAACTCCTCCCAGCAGACCCTTCCCAAAGCTTGTCTCTCAGGCTATGGCTCCCCAGTAGCTCCAGTCAAGTCATCTAGCAGTTTGACAGGCCAGACCCCTCCCCAGCAGCAGCCTCAGTCATTTTCCCCAAGCCAGCCTCCTCCGTCACACTTATCTCAGTCATACGGAGGATTCAGTTCCCCACAGACACATGACTTGCCTTCAGCCAGGACCTCTGGGGTTGGGAAAGGGTATGGGAGTCTGGGAAGCCAATCATTTTCAGCAGAATCAGTGTATGGGGCAGATTCAGGTTATGGGTCACTGCCTCCATCACTAGGGGGAGCTGGAAGTCCCTCAATGGGCTATGCTGCCTCAGGGCACTCTCCTGCACTCTTACGTTCAGGGGCAAGCGGGGGAACAGCTAGTGGTAGTAGCAATGGAGGTACTACTGGTACAGGAGGTGCAAATAGTGTGGGAGGAGGAGGAGGTGGTTCTTACCACATACCAGATTCCAGCCCCATCTCCATCTGGCAACTCTGGAATCATACGTCCAGGTCTGCACTCTCCTGCTCCTTCACGACCTGCTCAGTCACCCGTGGGAACAGGATCCAACAAATACCTGTCCTCTGTCCTCTCCCCCTCCTTCTTACCCTCCCCACAGGGTTTTCCGGACACCCGCGGAGCTCGATCACAACCCTTCCACCCCTCTGCGCCTCCAAAAACTAAGTCTGATACCAGCATACTTGGTGTAACTGAGTCTCGGCCACAACAGGATGACGTAGATGATGATGATTTTCTAATCCAGCATCTACTTCAGGCTCAAAGTCCTACTCCTCAAGCATCCCATCATCATGCACCTCAGAGCCATCATTCCTCACAGCCTACCCAACAGCCTTCAGTTCTTCCACCCCAGGATGGAAACAAGGGGTTGTTTAATGAGATGAGCAAGAGCTCAGAGGAGCGGTACCATCTTCAAAGTGTTATTCGAACTCACAGTGCCACTTCTAATGCTGCGGTGTCTGGAGCAGGGAGTGGAGCAGGCCTGGACAGTCAGTTGGAGATGTCTCTAAAGAAACAGCAGCAGCATCAACAGCAGCAGCACCAACAGCAGCATCAACAACAACAGCAACAGCAACAACAACACAAACATCAACAACAGCAACAGAAGAGCAACAGAACTGTCACAGAAGGAGGAGGACGAGGGAGCTCTGATCAAGCCCATTCCCATCCACATCATCACCATGACTCAATGGGGTCAGTTGTCCATTATGGTCGGGGTGACCCTTATTCCCAGCACTCCATTCCTCAGCATCCCTCCTCTCACCATCAGCATACTCCTCACACTCCTACACATACTCACCTGCATGCTCACTCCCACATGGAGAAGTCGCAAGATTCTGCAGATATGGCTTACATTCGCAAGACACCTGATCTTCAGCAGCACCACCACCAACACCAACAGGCACATCAGCAACAACAAACCCCACTTCATCAGTCTCATCAACAACAGCACCAACAACAGCAGCAGCAACAACAGCAGCGTCAGTCTCAGTCCCAGACCCTAATGGATTCTCCAACAGACCAGTCCCGCCAGCCTCCCCACCTGCTACAATCAGTGCTCTCCCACACCACCCGCAGCAAAATGGATCCTCAGCAACAGCAGGCTTTGATGGAAGCAGCCAGTGGAGTTACATCAGCAGCAGAGACCCATACCCAGCCCCAACCATCTCAGCTACAGCTTCAGCTGCAGACTCAAGCTTTGGAAGCTGCTAGTCACTATGGTCGTAGCTCCCAGCAGCAGGACCAGAACCATGCAAAATCTACCACAGTGTCCTCTTTGGACATGCTGGAGCGTTCTCTTTCTCGGACATCAAGTCAGGAGGGAGGAATGGTGGATGACAGAGCAGCAAATGAGGGAAGCAGAGGAAATTCTGCAGGTGGAACTGCAGGAAGTGTTGAGAGACACAGATCACAGGATCAACAGAGACTTTCATCTCACCATCCTTCGCAGCACCATCCCTCTGAGTTACATTCATATCTCTCTGAGCCTGATTTGGGCTTATCTACCCCTTCCCATGGGGTAGATCACCTTTCCCACCACCACCATCAGCCACAGCAACCACCTCAAGCTCCTCAACACCCTAACTCCCACCACCAACATGCTCACCCACAGCATCCTTCTCAACAGAGCCATCATCACCTTGCTCAGTCAGCCTCTGCAACTGCGCAGCAACAAGAGCAGCCTCACCCTTCCCACTCCTCCCAGCTTCCTCAAGCTCAGCTTGACCAGCAGCATCAAACAGACCATCACTTTGACACGAGGAGCTCAGCAGTGAAGTCAAACCAGAATCAGAATCAATCCCAGCAGAGCCAGAGGTTTGTTCCGTTAACATCCATCTGTTTCCCAGACTCGCTGCTACCAGATGAAGACCGTTCGTTTTTTCCTGGAATGGAGGACATGTTCTGCCCAGAGGACTACAAGTCTAGCTGTCCTGGAGGATCAGGGCAGGGTCAGGATGGAGTTGCCCAACCTCAAACAGGACAAGAAGGCATGGAGGGCATGAAACCAACTGCAGATGGTGGAGGAGATGATACAGGTGCAAACTATGACATGCTTGGCCCCCATGGTGATCAAGATTATGGGCAGTATTGCCATGATCTTTCTGAACCTGACAATGGAACCATGCATCTGGACCTCGACTCATTGAAGACCCATGAGCTCCCATCGACAGTCAATACAGAACAGCTTGGACTGATTCAATCTCAGCCACCCGGTCTTGGAATGGGAAATACTGGGAATGTTGTGGAAGGTTCTGGTGCCAAGCTGGGAAGTTCGGGAGGTTCTGGATCTGGATCAGGAGGGCTTACCTCACCAATTTTTTGCTCGTCTCGTCCCAAAAAGCTCTTGAAGTCCAGTTCTTTCCATTTGTTGAAGGAGAGACCTGATCCTAATTCCCTCCCCAAAAAGAGCTATGCACAGGAGTACGAATTTGAAGATGACGAAGACAAGGCTGATGTTCCTGCTGACATTCGATTGAATAGCAGAAGACTTCCCGACCTGATTCCAGACCTTGTATCCAGTTGTCGGAAGTCAGGTGGAACTATGAGCCCTCTAATGGGTGACTTGGATTTTGGATATCCCTCTCTTGGTCCTCCTCCGCAATTACTGCCCAGTGATGGGCCGAAAAAGAGAGGAAGGAAGCCCACCAAGCCCAAACGAGAAGGACCCCCAAGGCCTCGTGGCCGCCCACGTATACGTCCTTTGCCAGAGCCCCATCACTCCAGGAGCATGATGGGAGAGTGTGGAACAGGATATGTTCCTGAGAGAGGCAGGGGCAGGGGTAGAGGCAGAGGAAGAGGACGGCGAGATGAATCTGTGATGGACATGGACATAGCCAACAAGGAACAGGGTCATCTATATCAACAGCACATGCAACAACAGTCAATGCATCAGCAGCACCAAGAGCCAATCAAACCCATTAAGGTATGTTTAGAGGGGATAATTCATACTGTTTACATTTTATACAGTCTTATTTGGTGAAAGGTAAATGACGACCAGTGTATATGTCTCAAAATCTTTTGATCTCTTTTTAGATAAAACTTCCTATTGGTACCTTGTCATCTTCTGATGCCCTGTTGCGGACAGATTCTTTGTCTGGTACTGATCCGGCCCTCTCAGATGGTTCTGTGGGCTCTGCTCCTTCTTTGGGTCTGAGCCCAGGGACACCAGGAGTGCCTGATATAAGACCTCAAGACAAGAGTAAATCCAAATCTCAAGAGGTGAGAGAAAGAGCCTATTTAAAACCCTTATTTGTTTGTCTTTTACCTCAAAATTCTCTAAATTCAATTTAAAAAGATTTAGGAAATAGTTCAGCGCTTCATCGAGCCTCAGATTGCACCAGGTTAGATTTAGCTGGGAATTGGGAGAGGTTTTATCCCCAGTGATGCAACAGATCAGTGACCATCTGTGACCAAGAGTCCCAAAGAGTGCATAATTGCTCTTCTCATGCTTGGTCCATGGTCATCTTGATTTGCAAGCTTATACTCGTCTTCTGCTTACCAATCCATGCATTTGATCTCTCTTTAGATGGAAGAAAAGGAGTCTGAGAAGACTGGCTTTGTGGCTTCTTTTTTGGATTTTCTGAAGTCTGGGAAAAGGCCGGGGAGCAGCTCTGGGAACGGTGATTCATCTCCAGGGAAAAGTGGCGGTATCTGTCCCATATCCCCTGCACCACCTCCCCCACCAGCCCCTGCAGCTTCATCTGCTTATGGAGATGGTGAAGGTGATGGAGGTCTGTCGCTGGGTGGGTGCCCAAGCCCTTGCAAGCGCTTGGACGAAGAGCTGAAGAGAAACCTGGAGACCCTTCCATCCTTTTCTTCGGATGAAGAGGACTCCGTGGGAAAGAACCAGGATCTGCAAAAGAGCATCTCCTCTGCCATCTCTGCCCTGTATGACACTCCACAGCTCAGCACCAGCACAATGCAGCCTCCCTCACTCCCCCCACCTCCTCCTCCACCTCCTCCTGCACCACTGACACCAACACAACACCCACCTTCTCTGAGCCCACAAACCCCATCACACATGCACTCGCAGCCTCCTTCACATGTGCACGCACAGGCCATCGAGTCTAATATGTTACCGAGAGAAGAGCAGGACGACGAGATTGAAGAGGAGAAAATGAAAGATGTAGAAGATGAAGAAGAGGAGCAGGACAAAGAAGTTGAAGAGAAAGAGCCAGAAATGGAGATGCTGACTGTTCCAAAAGTAGGAGGTAAGAGTCGAGGACAGAAAGGGGTCGTGTTGAAATAGGTTTGCACTCAACAAGTCTAATGGGTCACCTCTTATATCAGCGTAAACACCTGCTTAGTCTTAAATGTAGGACACCATGGAGCAAGAGTAGTGTGAACTGTTTTGTCTGAATGTGTCTCTGCTGACCGGCACAGGAGAGTGAAAGGAACAAACTACAATTTATCATAATTTATTGACAATTCCTCATTTACATTACCGTTAAAATTATTTGTAAAGTCTTAGATTTGTACAGTTTATTGTTAATCTGTAACCACTGAACATTTTTGACGAAGAACGGTCAAAAAGTTACTTTCGGTTTTCGGACAAAATGTTCTAGTCGTTGCAGTTTTCGCCTTGCTTTTCTAGTCAATATCGAATAAGATGTAGTGTGGCACAGTGTATAAAACACTGAATGAAAATTATTGTGTTTAGTTTTTAATATTTTTTAAACTACTGATTCTTATGGAACCTCAGAAAAACCAAATATGAAGCATATTGTGTATCTAGAACATGTATTGCGATATATTTCTACCACATTGTCCACCCCTAGTTACTGCTTTAGGTTAATTATGTATGTAGCGATAAACATAGTAAAATATTCCTTTTCTGTTGCAGACTCGCCTAAAGAAGCTCCTCAGGCAGCAGCCCCCTCTTCCCTTCCACCTCTGTTCCCATCCTCCCCCGCACCTTCGTCTTCTCCCTCTCCGCCTCCTCTTCCTCCCCTCTCCCTCCCGTCACCTCTTCCTCAGCTGGAGGACAACCCATCTCCAGTGCAGAAACCTCCACTGCAGCAGACTCCGCCTCCATCCAGCCCTGTCGCTCCTTCTCTACCTGTCCTCTCTCCTCCTGCTCCCCCTCCTGCAGCCTCTCCTCCACCTTCCACTCCTCCACCCCCCAGCCCTCCTCCACCTCCACAGCCTGCTCCGGTGCCCTCCTCCCCAGAGGAGCCCCCAGCACCACAAATCCTGCCGTTACACCTGGCGCAGAAACAGAGCGGCGCCGCCATCGCAGGAGAGACTGATGAGGATGAGAGCGAGAGTGGAGGAGAGGGCATTTTCAGAGAGAGGGATGAGTTTGTGGTACGGTGCGAGGACATCAGGACACTCAAGGTGTGTGTCGTCTCTGTCCTGTTTCATTCTGTTCTTTACTTAATATTTAAAGATTTTCTTTGCTGTAATGACTTCACTGAATCACATTCCACCAATATACATACAAACTAATGAGATGTTCTGCCCTAAAAGCATTGTGTTTGGCCACACTTTCACTGAGAATTAATTCATTCTAACTGATTAATTAATTGAACTCTTCTTAGCACTTTTTCAAACAATTTTAATGGAAATCTCTAAAGGCACATCAATATTTTGTGTATTGTACTTTTTAATAAGCATATTTTGTGGCTCAGAAGCAGTTTTTGGTGAAATAACTTCAGTAGGAGCTCTCCGAGGTTGTAGATGCTGAATGAATAGGTTGTAGAATGGAGCAACTATAAAATTTCACTGGAAAGTTGCACTTTTCTATGATTGGAATTTTGTCAAGTTTACGATCTTTTTGTGAAATTTGCACGTCTCAATCAAGAAAAGGAAAATGAATCACGCTCTAATTACAGAGTACTCACACGTAGGGTACAGGACTGCACTAATAAATCAAAGGTTTATTTATCTTGAAATTTTTTAATTGAACACTCAATTTGATTGACTTTTAATTTTTTGGTAATTGTTAATGGTGCAGGTGCACGGATGATGATATCATCGCTGCCCAGAGAAAGACAAGGCATCTTATGTATCTCCATATTTGTCAATTTTTATTTTTCTTCATAAACGGAAGACAGCTGTCCTTCACTTTTTAAGAAAATTTCATAAGTGGACCAACAGAAATGCTCCAAAATCACTTGGAATAAACTCTCTTTACATTAACTTTCAATAAAAGTTCAGAAGGCTTCTGTCTTCTGCTGTAAAGGTACCATTTTGGAGATAGATGTTTCTCTTTGGACAGAAAGATATGGACAGTGTGATGTTTGATAATGCAATAACAATATGAGACGCTATAAATTATGAGCGTGTCTCCGACTGGGTGTGCAGCAAATATTTGCAGTGTAATTAAAGAGAACTCTAACTACCCTCTCCTTTAAGCAAATACCAAAAATATACAGTTACAAAAGCCCCGTTCAAAAAGATGGAGAATAAATGTATTTTTTAATAATATTTTTATGTAAAAAACTAATAAATATACATATTTAATTCTATAAAATACTCCTTATAGTGATGCAGATTTGTTGTGCTTCTGCTCTAATATAAGACACGACCTCTAACTCTACATTCCCACCGAAATCGAACAATAAAAATATGATTAATCGCGCAGCCTTGGTTATTAGGGTTATTTGCTAGTTGGCCTGATGCAGCTGTATGTATGTGTCTGAATACGCTGTTTGTCCACACTGAGTAATTTATTTTGCTTTTTTGCCTGTTCCCAGATGGCCCTGCAGACAGGACGGGAGCCCCCTCCCATCTGGCGTGTTCAGAAAGCCCTGCTGCAGAAGTTCGCGCCAGAGATCAAAGATGGGCAGAGACAGTTCTGCGCCACCAGCAATGTGAGTTTTAAAGCACAAACATAAACTGTTACTACCGTCATAACCCGTATATTAGCCTGCAGCAGCAGCAGAGACTGTGGCATAACACTCAATAGGGCTGCATATTATGGAGAAAAACGTGGACACAAAATGAGATGTTGATAAAGAAGCAATAAATAAATTATGATAATGCACATAATGTGCCTCTGACTTTCTAATTTGAATATTTATGTGTTTTTCTTTAGAACTACCAGAAAAATACACTGTAAAAGCCCCATTCATTATAGTGCAAAGTCTAAAACATGAATAATGAAATTCTATTAGCTATTTAGATCACAATACAAGCACATTTTTGTCTATATTAAGGCTTTTAGGAGGAAATTCAGTAGGTCTACAAAAGGTCTACAAAAATAAATACATACATATAGTCATATTAATTTGAATATGACTATATATATATATATGTATTTAGTGTCAGACTCAACCACTAAAAGGGCCATATTTATATCTAAAAATGTGATTAATCATGCACCCATACAGGTTTTGCCACGGCCCCAACTGGTCATTGTTTATTCAAAATAAGCCAGAACTAGAACGGCAAAAAAAATAGGCACTGAATACTTAAAAGATTCAAAAATATTATAAAACTAAAACAATTGTTTTATATAAAACAATACACTATATTAGCTGCAGATCACTGTTGAAGCTCTTTAAATGTCTCCACTGTACTATATATTTTTTTAAAACTGCCCATTTGCTTGAACTGGACACCTGGAATCTTTTTTATTTGTTTTTTTTTTGTTTTTTTCAGTCCTGTAGATCGTTGTTGGGGAGGGGATGGGAGCACACATTATGTTGCAGTGCATGCTGGGAACTGCAGTGCAGCCCATGGTGAAATGGGCTTACATTAATAGAAAATTTAAATAATTTTGCGGACTGAATCAGATTGTGCCATGGGCCTGACTCGGCCCGCGGACCTTGTGTTTGACACTTGGGCTCTACATAGAGAACACGCCTAAAAATGTCAGTTTATTGCATCAGTTTATTTTAGAGCACAGTTTCTGTTTATGCTGAATTCAAATTCAGCAAGGAAAGAGTCATTGTACATTAAAATGTGCAGAAGTGTGTCTCTGTAGAGGATGTGTTCACTTATTTTCACTTAGAAAATCAACAAAACTTGAAAATTTGACTAGTGCTGCCCAAACTTCTGTATCCATTTGTATTTGAGTCCTTAAGAAGCTTCTTATAGTGATGCACGTTTGTTGTCACAGTAGCCTTTACTCTTTCACACGTTTTGAACTCAACAAATAATCACACTCAATGTATTTTTACGGATTAGTAGTAATGGATAAAGTACTTTTTGAGCTGTCCATGTGTGGGTATTGTACAGTTGGCTAATTAATGTGCTCTGCATGCATGAAACCGGTTCAGAACTTCCCTCGGGGAAGCACGCCAGCTAATATTAGACACTTATCCTCAGGCTACATTCCCACCAATCTAATTGCAAAACTTGTATCGTGATGACGCAAAAATTTGCTTGAACATGCTGCTCTAATACTCTTCGTCGATGAGGAGATTATTCCACTTGTTCTGTTTAGTCATTTGCATTTTATTCTTGTTGTTATGAATTATACCTGAGCTGACTTTACCTGTTTGATCACATCCTTTATTTATTTTATGCCTGTTGCTTTTCCCTCGCCTCCCTCAGTATCTCGGTTATTTTGGTGATGCTAAAAAACGGTACCAACGTCTGTACGTGAAGTTCCTGGAGAACGTGAATAAGAAGGACTACGTAAGGGTTTGCTCGCGCAAGCCTTGGCACAGACCCTCCGTAACGCTCAGGTATCCAGACTTCTTCACAGCTTCACTGATCTCAGCAGTCGAATCATGTTATATCACTGTTCTAACAATAGCTGTTCATAGATATTTGTCATAATCTTTCATGTCTTTTCTTACATTTTACTCTCTGTCGTCTATTCAGACGCCAGTCACAGTCACAGTCGGTCCCGAAGATAGCCCTGCCCCCTAACAACCAGACTCCGCCTCGCGCCGTGAGAGAGGAGAAGGACAAAGAGCGGGAAAAAGTGAAAGAGAAGGAGCAGCGTGAGGCCAGAGAGAAGAACAACATCAGGGCGAAAGAGCAGCAAGAGAAGGAACGCGTGGCTAAACTGAAGGAGCGAGAGGAGACGAAGGAGAAGGAGAAAGAAAAGAAAACGCCGCCTCCTCCGGCACAACAGAAGGCAGAGAAACGGTCAGCGGCGGCGGAACGAGGGAAGGTGAAAGAGGAGAGAAAGGCCGGAGGAGCGGAGCGGAAGACGGAGCGCTCCGTGAAGCAGCAGCCCGTAAAGGTGAAAGCAGAACCTCCGCCAAAGAAGAGGAGGAAGTGGCTGAAGGTGCCTGAAGTTCCCTCATCATCGGAATCCGACTCCTCAGCCAGCGAGGAAGAGAGTGAGTACATTTAAAAAGCCATGTAGTTCCATTTGTGGACTAGCAGAGTGTTTAAAGTAGTTTCAGCCACTTTTAGATGCTCATCTTAAGTGAAGAGCTTCAATTAAAAACAAGTAATTTTAAAGCTTTGAAGTTTTTACAGAAAAACATTGGAACGATACTTGAGGTTTTAGTATTGGTACAAGTATCACAAATTCCCTAATCATAATTATTTTCTGGTAACTTTTTTTTTTTGTCCAAAAAAAGTATAAATAAATTCTCAGCCTATTTTCGACCTTAAAAACTGAACAAAGAAAACTTTGTTTGTGTTGTTTTTACTGATTATATTCCACTTGTAAGGTGACAGAACTGACCAGAGGCTCGCACATAAAATGAAGAAAATAAGCTTTACTAGTAAGAACGAGATCCAAACTCGAGGTCAGAAAACAGGCACAGGTCAAATCCAAAACAAGCCAAAAACACAAAGGGACAAACATAACAAAAACAGGCAAATCCAGAAAAGGGTAAGCCAAAAAAGGCAAAGTCCAAAAACACAGTCCGATACACAAGAAGGTAATAATAACAAAAAGAAACGAAAAGGAAGAAGCAGTATAACTTAACTAAAGCCTGGGCTTTAAATACTGTCTACTGCATTTCAAATGACAAACAAGTCAGATGTACAAGATTAGTATTCAGGCGAAGGGGAACAGCGATTGGCTCTGGACGGTGGTGTGACAGTCACATGATCTCCAAGGGAGTTCTGGGAAGTGGAGTCTCCAAAGTGTCTGATCCGGAGGGATGCGTGACACCACTGCTATGTGAATAGCTCCCCGAGTCACATTTGTATGTTCAGTATAATATGAAAAATAATTTAATGTTAGTAATTTAATGATATCAAATCGTGGCAAGTTTTCTTTTGTGATGCTGTGATTCAGATTAGATGGTCACTTCTCTTGTGTAACCGCGTGTCTTTTGTTCTTGCAGTCTCTGTGAAAGCAGGCCTGAACACTCGTGCTATGCGGGAGATGTACCGAAGCTATGTGGAGATGCTGGTCAGTACAGCCCTGGATCCAGACATGATCCAGGCGCTGGAGGACACTGAAGGTAGGCGGGAAAGCTGTTACTCTGTTATAAACCCAGTTCGGACAGGAGTAAATTTACAAGGGGTCCTGGGGTGGTCACACCTTTTGCAGCTGATTTTATTTCTATCTGGTTCAGTCATGTCAGTGTCAGGCAGAGTTGCTTACTGCTTTTCACTGAACTCAGCCGTGGTCTGATCATTTCAGGCCAGTTTGGACGTACAGCTCTGTGATTTTCTAGATTTCTCCTCACGTTAGATAAAAGTTTTGTGAATGTTTGAAAACTGGCCAGATCCATATCAAATAGAAAATACAACCCACTAGAAACTAATTTTATTGCTACTCTCACGCAAGAGACGTGTCCAAATTTTAATACCGACGACCCCAAACCACAAATCACTGTTTTCATTTATTAACAATGACGTTTAACTGTATTTGAATGATGTGGGGTTTTCATCTTCTGACTACGTCTTTCAGATGAACTGTACCTCCCTCCAATGCGTAAAATCGACAGCATTCTCAGTGAGCAGAAGAGGAAGCTTCTGAAGCGGGTCAGCATGAGCTCCCAGCACCAGGTACTGCTTTGTCTTCTTTTTGGCATGTCTTGGAATTTTAACCCCTTAAAATGCCAGAGGTCAGAGTTTTATTACAGGCTTCTATAACCTCAGAATAGCTCAGTCAGTTTGCATTGTATTCAATGTAATTAGTGAATAATAAGCTTAGTATGTAATAATCCTGGGATTTTTAGAGGTTTTTAAGGACTCACTTTACCGTAAATGCAGTTTGCTTCTAGTTTTGCCCTGGAGCTTTGAGGCTCACTTAGCTAACAAGTAATATATCAAGTTATATCTTGTTAATTAGCATCTTGCAAACTGTATGTCACACAAATCGAATACAGTACCTTTCAAATATGATTTTGTGGTTACTGACACTGTATGTAAAAGTGGACAAAGGCTTGAGTTTAGCTGCTGCTACTCTTTTAGCTGTGCAGCATATTTCAGTCCGTGTTTATGGATCACAGTGAGTCATACAGTGTCAGAAACCACACAGTCGAGTCTATTAGAGACACTGAACACCTCCACAAGGTTTTATGGCACGCAGTTAGCACTATGCTAATTGGGGGGCTGTAAACTTCTTGTTAGCTACATTAGCCTCATAGAAAGAAGCAAACTTCAGACACCAAACATGACTTTACTGGTCAGCTAAATTGGGGTAAGGAAGAAAACTGTGAACCTTATTTTTGGCTGAGATTTATTGCATGCTGCTTTCTGAGCGCTCATCATCTCTCCTTCCCTCTCTCCCTCTGTCTCGACCCACAGGAGGCCATACACACCTTCCCCCAGATAACAGTGGAGCCCCAGGACTCTGGAGTAGTGAGGGTGAAGCTTGGTGGGGAGTGCTACAACCGGAAAACCCTGAACCGCGTCAAAAAGAATGTACCCAAACCACAGGTACTGCCTTTCAGAACAGCGCGAACCAGGCCTGGGCGATATTTTCTAGTTGAAAAATTGCGATTATTGATAATATGCCTCTCTCCACCCCAAAAAAAAATAAAAATAAATAAATAATAAATAATGCAGTCCACAGCAGCTTTGACTTGCTTTCTATTCTATTTTAGTTTATATGTTTTTTTTTTCGAAATTAACTGTTCTAATGAAAATACTGAATAAAACTCATATATTAAACAATATGACGCTGAGCAGCCGAACATCTTTTGAAAACTCTTTCATCTGTCATTAAATAAACGCTACTGCAAACAGATGCGTTCCTTCTGCCACAGATTTGTGGCGACTTGTGCTAACAGCGCTCCCTGCTGGAGACTGCAGGTGATCTCCAAAGCTATGCCCACGTGCTCTCCACATTAAAAACGAGAAGTTTTCTGCCTTTACAGCAGCATTTTCACAATACAACTAAACACCAGGACACTTAATCTGTACAGAAAATACAGCACACCGGCCGTAGACGAGGATCACAGGAACTTTCTTTCCAGGTTAGAGTTAGCTTAGCTGCTCTACGCTAACCTTCAGTCATTTTAGCTCGTTTTTTACTGCAGCGAGTCACTTTGAGGCTGAAGCTCCAAAGCACGTCGGCATTCATTTCGAAAAAAAAAAAATTATAAGATAAATTGACTACTTTTGTGCAGGAACACTTCATAAACATGGTTCCCAGTTTCCCGAAGTGTTTTTTAAGCTGTTTAACATTATTATTATAATTAGTCCTCCTTAATTCTCTCTCAGTTCTTTTACCAAAACAACACTTATCGCTTTTTACAAATCACCATCGGGTTTCTTGCCCATCATCGACCATATCCAATCACATCACACTGTCGCCCAGGCCTAGTGCAAACCTGAATTATGTTGAAAAATTTTCTTGTTTAGCCCTACTTCTGCAAACGTAACCGTAACTGATCTGCATTAACCACTGAGTAAAAAATTTATATAATTAAATCATTATATAAGGTGATTTTTTAAAATGTGTGCATGTTTCCATGTGTGAGATGTAATCAGAGTGATTCAGAGTGGTTTGGAGTGAAATGGTTCAGATGTCTTTACAGTGGTGGTGATAGGAACCAGGGGTCGCCATGGCTACAACACAAATATAGACATTTTATTTACCATCCAGAACCACCAGTGAACCTACAGGAGTCTTCTGAGTTTATATGGAATGTTGATGATGGAAAATAGTGGAAAATGTCATAAAACAAGTCTTAAACATCAGGCAGTGCATTCATAACCATTTCATGAATTCTGTGCAGGAGCTTTTAAACTCGTCAGACGTCCATTTCGTGTCACCACCACTGTGAGCAGGTCTGAGTCGAGTTATAGAGAAGTTTTGAGAAATTGGCAGATTTCCTGTTTAACCTTTAGAAGTCTACAGTTATTACTGTCAGTTTGCTTGTACTGTATTTGTGTAATTACATAGTTTTTACACATCATAATTAATTACATTTACACATATTAACCGGACCAAATCTGTTTATTTTTCTGTATATTTCTGAAATGATATACATGGCAAACATGTAAAGAATTGTTTTTCTTTCTGCTGTACACCCAACAATAGCTTTTCATCAAATTCAAATAAAACATCTCCACTTCTAATTGCAAACACAGAGATGGTTGGGATTAGGGCTGAAAGATGAATCGTTTTTATATTGAAATTGCAATTTGAAAGAATGCAATTTTCAAATCGCAAGAGTTGCAAATTTTATTATAGTATTACGGTCTATTATCAACAACATTGATACGATGCAAGTTTTAAGTCGGGAAATTTTACCTAATAACATGGAGTTAACACCAATAACTGGCAGGCTGTCGCACTGTGTTAAGAGTTCAAGTCTCAAGCCAGAACAAAAATATGCTCTTCTTAGTCTTCTTAGCCAAAAAAAATGCATACCTCAATTTATACCTCAATCAGAATAGAATACGTCCATGAACACACTTCATTTGGAATAGTCTAGTCCGATTGAGGCCATTTGGAATACAGTGTCTATCCGACTGATCGAGGTGGGTAATCCTGTAAATAATCCGTTAAATAGAAGAATAATATCCGTGTAAACGCCTGTATCTGATTACATTCCCTATCGGAAAGTTTAAGTCCGTTCTGATCATGTTCGTCGCGTCATAGTGAAAGTTTATACCGTTCAACATGGCGGAGCAGAAACTGGTCTGCAGAGGAGACGAAGTTTATGCTCTGATCTTTAAAAGACGGCGGTGGGACGGACGTCCAGCTCATGTGTCTCAGAACACGACGTCTTCCTCTCGGCCTTCTTTAATAAGGACATGTGAAGGACGTTTTCCTGAGTCTGACATCATTTTAAAGCAATTAAAAACACAAGCGCTGCTCACTGCTGCTCATCTCACTCTGACTGGACTCACGTGATGCTGGTTGTCATGGTAACGTCTACACTAAATGGTTCTCTACGCATGTGCATCATTCTGGGTCGGATTACTTGTAGTGAGCATGAAAACAGAGATTTTCCATCAGATTGTTGAGTAGAGTGAGAATAAACACCTCAGTCTGAATCTGTAATCGGAGTGAATTCAATCAGATCTTTGCGATAAGTTTAGAATCTGTACTTTGCACACAATTTCTCTACTTGTTTGTGAGAAATAATTCATATAAAATTACTCCTTGCTTGTGTTAGTGTAGCAGTAACTTCTAAGGCTGAAATGAATTTCCTAACATGCCTCTCTTTTCTTGCTTAGGACCTCAAGCTGTCAACAGAGACGTGTCGACTCTACAGTCTCTACCATTCCCTGCATCATTACAAATACCACACTTTCTTAATCTGTAAGAAAGAGGTACGTACAGGTTCACTGCGTCAGGCACTGCGTTCACACTTATCCTAACAAAGTATGTCTTTTTTAATTAATTAATGAAATGGTATCTCTTACTTTGCCTCTTGTAGACGAACACTATAGAACAAGCTTCAGAAGATCCTGGGCAGGAGGAGGTTGTTCAGCAGTGCATGGCCAATCAGAGCTGGCTGGACACGCTTTTCAACTCCTTCCTAGAGCTGATGACCCTCAGTGCCAAAGCCTGAAGGAACGAGGAGGAAAGAGGAGAAAAAGGGGAGAACAAAACAAAGGACAAATCCAGAGGAAGCGACGTGGAGCGAATACGGCGGGTTTCTTTTGGCGCCGCCCCCCGTCCTCTGCTGTTGTTGTTACTGAAGCGCTTCTTAAGACAGTTGTGATGCAGCGAGACGAGCAGGAGGAGTCGCCTCTCCGCAGGTAGTGAATGAATCGACTCAGCGAAGGATCCTCTCTGAGGCAGAGCCGACGGAGGTAGACTCAACGGATTAATCAAAGGAGAGAGAACGAGTTCACACTCAGGTGTGACCAATCTGAGATTCTCTTATTTTTCCTTTTTGTTTTTGCATTTTCTTTTCGTTTTCCTGGAGATGGGTCGACCTTCCAGCCTCGACCGCTAGAAGACGAACTGAATTTCCGTGTGAATTTTTTGCGCCTGTGGTTTCGTCCGATTCTTTTCGCGTTTCAAATAACTGACGACTAATTTGAAGACGATGCTAGGAGGAAGTCTGTTACTGTTTAAATTTTACACAGATTATTTTTTAAGACTACAAACTGTTTTATTCTGCTTTTTTTTCCTTTCTTCGAGCGACAGAGTGGTGCCGTGACGGTTGTGTTTTATAAACGAGTGAAGACTGCGGTGCGAGAGGAGAAACTGACGGGGGGGGAGGGGAAGGGGCGGGGGGGAGATGCTAAGCGGCGTAACGGTGTAACACTTCAGGCTACGTGAGCAGATACGAGTGAGCTATAGTAATACACACATTTTTATTATTTATATAAAAGACATTTCTAACAGTGCAGAAAGCAGCAGCGCTTCATTATCCGTTTCATAACGTCAAGTTACGTACAGATGTCACGAGCGACGTTGCGTCGTCACGTTCTGAGCTGTCTTCCTTCGGGCTCGTGAAGGGGTGGCGGGTAGGACGAGGAGATGATGCGGCATCTGTAAAAGAGTAAAAAAGACGGAAATAAAAATATACTTCAAACTACGCAAAACTGTAATATTTCAGTGCATTCTTCAGAAGATGGACATGAAAAATAAGAGCTAACTATAGCATCCAGTTCCCACTAGGGAAAGATTATGTATTAGTAATATTTAAAGAGGATTTTTTTTGTTGTTTTGTTTTTAACTGTTTGTCCTTTGTCTGTATTATGAGTATTATTTTGGAACAATCTAATACTGTGCTTCTTTCAAAAACAAAGCCTTTGTGTAAATATTGTACAGCTCTTCACACAAAACTCAGTTCTTCTGTACATGGACTATTCCTGTATTTGACAAACAAAATAAAATCAAGGAGCGTATAATGTCTCATAGGAATCATACTGCATGCTTTTTTCCTCTTGTGTGATGTTTTTGCCAGAGCTGATTTGGGATGTGCGATTAGAATCGACTCCGGAATCGACTCCGAACACACTACCGGCAATCGACCAGTTTATTATTTGGATTTTGGCTGATCTGTGTTGGGGGTTAATGAGGCAGGTAAGAGCACTCGCGCTGTATTTGAACGCTGCTACACCTGAACCACAATGTCACAGCACAATTACACAAATAGCCAGTTACTTTTAATAAAGCTCTTTATTTGATTCATGATATTGAAATAAGGAACTAATTTTGTCATTTAAAATGTTTAAAAAAAGCAACTACTTTAATAAAATAAGTATATAAAATAAATAAGTATATATTGCTGTTGGAATAAAACCTTTTATCTCCAGTTTTGTCGTTTTTCAATTTTTTACGTAATCTGAAAATGCCTGTTTCCTTTTACATTATGTGTAAATGTCGTGATGAATGGACCAAAAGAAACGGCCCAGAATGACTGGGAAAAAAGTCTGGTTCCATTGACTTACATTAAAAGTAAAGTAAGTTTTTTCCTTCTCCTGTAAAGTTACCATTTTGGAGATGGATTTTTCCAACAACTTTATATATTAAATAAATATTATGTTTATATATACATATGGGTGGGGCCTTGATATACAGGGTGATTTAAAAAGATTCATCTGATTTCAAAGCGCCATATTTTTACAACCGTGAGGCGCCTAGGAACCAATCACATACCAGTTGAAAGAGGGGGTCATAGAGTTTCTGACTGTCAGTGGAAGATGGCTCCCTTCGGTCTGAGAGGAGATGAGACCCCTGAGCAGAAAGCGTTCTGCGTTCTCCACTTCAATAAGAGTGAATCCGTCATAACTGTGCAGTGTGATTTTCGTGGACAGTGAAGCTCCAACAGCTCAGAGCGTTCGTCGTTGGTTCCACAACACTGGATGATCTCCGAAATCGCACTGAAAGAGCCGTGAGTGCAGCGACACCCGACATGCTCAATCCAGTATGGGATGAGTTTGACTATGGCGTTGATGTTGTCTGTACAGCTGGAGGAGGTTCATACTGAGACCTTGTACAATTACATAATAAACTTTATGCCCATTTAAACCATTTACAGTTCACTGCATTGATCTGTAATGATTTACAAGTGAAATAATCGGATGAATCTTTTTGAATCACTCTGTGTATGTGTGTATATATTATTTATGTATATGTATATATATATATATGTGTGTGTGTGTGTGTGTGTATATACTTTGTATGTCCAAAATGGTAACTTTACAGGAGAAGGAAAAAGCCTACTTTACTTTCAATGTAAGTTAATGGAACCAGAATTTTTTCCAAGTCATTTTGGGTCGTTTCTTTTGGTCATCATGAAATTTACACACAATGTAAAGGGTAACAGGCATTTTCAGATTATGTCAAAAACTGAAAAACGACAAAAATGGAGATACAGGGTTTTGTTCCGACAGCAACTACAGTAGTAGTAACCTTACAGTCAAAGAATCTGCAGACTCACCTCCAAAGTTCAGTCTTAGAAGCTGGTTGATGATTTTCTGAAGTAATCAAACACATTCAGTGGTGTTGAGGTCTGGACTCTGGGGTGGTCAGTCCATTGTTCAGCTTCTTTGTTTGATGTGTCCGTCTCCTTTTCTCAGTGAGGTTCTTCTTGATCAGCTACACATCCTTTCAGACCCACAGCGCTGAGTCGTCTTCTCACAGTGGAAGGATGGACAGAAACACCTGTGGATGTTTTCAGATCTGAAGCAGCTTGATTTTCTCCTCTCTCTCAGAGATGAAAGCTTTAAGTGCTGTTTATCTGATGGGGGCAGTTTTGGGGTCTACCAGCTCTCCAGGTGGTTGTTAGGAGCCACACTTTTAATCAGTTTTTGATGTCTAGCTCTGGAAACGTGTCACACATTCTCCTTTGACTTTCTCCTTCTTGTGTAAGTGGACTGTCTTGTATCTAATCTCAGAAAAATGAGTAACCTGAAGTGAAGGGTGGGCTCTGTATGTTGTCACTTCAGCTGGTAGAAAGCGCTGGAAATGTACTTCATGTGTTCTCACACACTGTGAGCTTCAGGGTGAAGATAGAAAGCTGATGAAAATCTAATGGTAAGTACACTGGCTATTTCAAAACTACGCTCTGACTTCTAGTGAAGCTCTGGAGACTTTCTCAGCCCATTCAAGTGCCCCATGAGAACTTCCTCCACTGGTGACTGATGGGAATGTCTTTACAGTGGTGGCAGCTTTCTGTTATTTCTGATAGCCCTAGTATTTGCTGTAACTGGTCCTGAAGAAGGTGGGAAATATTGTTTGTGCTTTCTGCTCTGCCACTTACAACAGGCCTCACATTGTGGCACACCCTTCATCAGAAAGCTCCTGTAGTTTCCAGACTCTGCTGTGGGCTGTGGGGCATTTCCACTCGGGTACTGTGCGGTGTGTCTTTTCAGAAAAACAAAAAGTGAAAAGGTTAGGCTGATTCCAGCCATGTGAGCCTATATTAATATTAACCCTTTGTTCTTCGAGAAGCTCAGAAATCGAGAGTTCGTACCGTAGAAGTTGTGTGAAGAGGAAACGAAAGTGTTTTAGTGCAGATATAAAGTGCTTAAATGAAAGTAAAAGTCACACAGTTGGCCACGCTGGGGGCGGGGTTTATGCAGTACAGGGAGGGCGTGGTGTATGCAAATAACCAGGACGCTTCTTCAACTGAAAACCAGTGATGGAGGCGTTTCTCATGCAAATAGTCAATCTGGAAGCTTTTCTGACAAAATATTTTTTAATAATTGTGACAGAATTTGTTCAGTGCTAAATCCCTCCAACACTGCGCCCAGTGCAGGACAATATTCTTTCATTCTGTGTATGGGTCACTGACATGACATGCATTTTTTTGTGTACATAACTTTCTCATAAAAATGATTTAATAAAACCGTGACATATCAAATTATTCAACTAGACCTCTTTTATGTGAAACAAGTTTCAATGCATCCATATAAAATTCATTTTGCTTCCAAAAGCTTAAAACTGTCAGGTGCAATCATCCAGCCATACGTGTTGATTAAATAATCACTATCAAAAAAGGTAATTTAGTTATAAAATTCTAGATCAATAATAGTTAAAATAAAACTTTCAAATAAAAAACGTTGCAAAACAAGGCATTTTTAAAAGAGCTCAACTCACTGAAAAACCTTGTTCTGCAAGTTTTTACCTCCTCAGATGTCAGGCAGCACAACCAAAAACAAAGGGCTTTTATTTTGACATGCTTTTATGAAACAGGGGCCAGGGTATTGCATCATAAAGAAGACCCCAACTGACCTTCATGGTTCAATGCCAAGGTCAGAAATTTAGTAAAATATCTGATTTTTACATCATTGTTAGAAGGTTCAGTTTAACATGTCAGGTGTTCTGACCTCAGGAGAACCATGAAAATGTGGAATTAGTATAATGATGTTTATTTATTTGAAATAAATGTAAATGTAAGTGTAAGCTCAAGGTCAAGGACAAAATTTTCTACAGTTGTCGAAGTAGACGCCTGCTTAATCTGAAATTAGTCTGAAAAGTCAGGTGGCACCAGCAGTAAATTATTAGATTTGTCACTGATCCGTATCTATTTACCTTGTTACATTTTATTGATATTATGATTTGTATCTTAAAGTCTATAAATGTGTTTATACTTTCATGATTTTGTAGTTTTACCTTTAATTAGGCGACAACAGACCAAACAACATCTCATTGTACTTGTACAGTGACAATAACAAAATCCTGTCTTACACTGTTTTACGTTTTTATTTTTATTTTATTGTCATTATTAGTTTTATTTTATTGTCATTATTAGTTTGTCCCTTGTTTTTGTTATGACTTACTTTGGAATAATCTGACACGGTGCTTCTTTTCCTTTAAAACAAATCAGTACTGGGGCGTGGCTTTTGCAGAAAGGACAAATATGAAGGCGCGATATGGGCGTGGCCTCGTCAGAAGAAAATGACGGGGGAGTGGTTTCTTCAGGCAAAATATGTGTGGGTGTGGTTTCTTCAAAGAAAATGTGTGTATGGGCGTGGTTTCTCCATGGAAACCTTTGCGTATGGGCGTGGTTTCTTCGGGAAAAACAGATGTAGGCGTGGCTACCCAATAAAGCTTTGATTCTACACCTGATTCTGTGTACATGGCGGAACAGAAACATTTTGTTTCACATCAGCCAATAAGATGAACTAACTGGAAAGCAAAATAGCTAATTAGCGAAATTAGACACTGACAATACCATTAAATTGCGTATCATAGTTATTATAAATTGAGAAAGTGGAAAACTAGAATTAACCTCTTAAATGGCCAAACAGTCTAAATACACACTTCTATAATCTAAGAACAGCTCGTCCAGTTTGCATGGAAGTCCCTGTAGCCTTATTATGTAATAAGACTGAGGTTCTAAAGTTGAGGTGGTACCACTTGGGTCAGTTCTTGTTTTTGCTCGTTAAAAAGCGAAAGCTTTCTTATTAAACTCTGGCTACCAGCGTCATCCGACCAAAGTTCTTTGCTGTTGTGACGTGATGCTGATTTGTCCTACAGGGCCAAAACCCGAGATAGTGTGATGCCAAGCCTTGACCCAACTAGTACCCCAACTGGCCAAATTTGTCCCTCCTCTGCACAAAACAACAACAAAGGCATCAGCACAATATTTCATAGAGATATTGTCTTCATTCCTGACGTTATATTTTATTAGAACAAATTTGTGAAAGATCTGAACTGGAAGAAAATCTGGACATAAATTTCCAGTGACTAATAAAAATACAAGAAGTGTAATTTTTTAAAAATATTATACAGATGTTACCCAGCAAAGTTATTAGGCCAAGTTTAGAAAAGATCTCAATCCAAACTGCTTCTTTTGTGATGTACATGTTTATTTTGTAAAAATGTTTTGGCCAGATTTGTAGTTGATCATATTTACTCCCAAAAAAGTTTTGTTTGGTTTTAATAATATATATAAACATAAATATTGACTTAACCTCTTATTAGGGTATCTGAATTCACATGACCAAATCATAAGGCAAATTATTTAGCAACTGCATGAAATAAATGTACATTTTTATTTTATTTATTTATTTTTTGTAAAAGCTCCCCTCAAATTAACAGAACATGTGTTTTATGATCACACATATTGCTATATGCTTACAATTTACTGCTGAAAGCCAAAAATCTTAGACACTCTTTGTATTATTTTATAAAAATAATGTTTACAGAGCAGATCACTGAAGAGACACCATCTGTTTATAGTTTATAGCCCAGATTTGTGAAAAATGAGTCGACTTTCAGTAGAAAAAAAAACTGAGTTCAGCTTCTTTTATTATAAGGGTTTAAAATTACATCACCCATCTATTTGACTGGAAAGAAGACAGTTACAGCTCTCATACGACCCCCACCTTTAGAATGTAGCTTATGAAATATGAAAGTTATGAAGAATATGACGAAGTGCGTTTTGGAACCACCGGCGGCCTCAAGGAGTTGAAGAGGTTAACTACTTAAAATCTCAGGCATATTACATATTAAGGCTTATTATTCAGTAACTACAGGGACTTTATAGAAGTCACACACGACGTTATAGAAGTGTGTATTAAACTTTGGGCCTGCTGGTGGCCATTTAAGTGGTTATTATATTCCTCTTATTTTAATATTATTTTTTTATATTATAAAATTATAATATATACATTATTACATTATTATTAACTTATGTAAAAATTAGCAAAATTTTACATTCATAAATACAAATTTAAAATATCAAACTGTTATTTATGATTTGTGTAGACTGTATGTTTAACTATTCAACTACAAAAGCTGACATTTATAAATCACTATTTGTTTCATTTGTGTATTTTTTTGTTTTATTATGTTCATTAAAGTCATTGTTTTGACGCCTCTTGCTGAAGTAAATAAATAAATAAATAAATAAATACGACACAGGGGGCGTGGTTTATCAAGGCAGGAAACGAGATAGGGCGGGGCTTCGGCCGGCTAGATCCGGTGACGTCAAGATGGGAAAACGAAACTGAGGCGGAGGGATTTCCCGAGAAAAGCAATTAGACTGAGATATAAACAGAGGCGGTCAGTAACGGAGGACTGAGACTCCGTGGCTGAGCTGAGGGGACTGTAGCTGACCGGGGGTCGTACAGAGGTAAGTCTGTCAGCGCTGCTGTCACACAGGACCCACAGGGTCGCCTTCGGTCACATGACTCAGACCAGCTTCTCCTGTTTGTTCCAGAAGGCCGACTTTAGCTGCACTGTTACACACAAAGCTGGCTCGCAGGTCGTGATTTGACCATTCGTCTTCAGCGAGGTCGAACTGGAGCTGGTGTGTTGAGGTCTTTTCCTCTCATTTGCCTGTGATCTCTGTCCCTGTGTTGATTCTGTCGTCCTTTAAAGGGGAACTCCATCTGCCTTTCCAAAATTCCAGCACGAATAAGTGGTTAAGATGTAAACAGAGTCGTTCAGAGTGGTTTGGTGTGAAACGCTCTGTTCTAGATAAACTTACAGAGTCAGAACTGTTCACAGTGGTGGTGATAGGAACCAGACGTCCACCTCTAAAAGCTCCCTCACAGAAAGTTACTACATGACATGGTTGCAGATTTGCTGCCTGGTCTTTGACACGTTGTTTTACAACAGTTCTGCGAAAAGTTTGGCCAAAAATCTTTTTGTAAGATCCATTCATGGTGGAGGGGTCATGCAGGTTGTTGTGAGGCAAAATAGTCCCCAAAGAAAACGTATTATTTCTTATTTATCGCCATTTTACCATCATCAACATTCCATATAAACCCAGAAGACTCGTGTAGGTTCACTGGTGGTTCTGGATAGTAAATAAAATGTCTATATTTGTGTTGTAGTCATGGCGACCCCTGGTTCCTATCACCACCACTGTAAAGACATCTGAACCATTTCACACCAAACCACTCTGAATGACTCTGTTTACATCTCACACACTGAATTATACAGTAATCTGAAATTCCCTTTTCATATCAAATGTGTTTTTACAGGTGTGACTACAGTGCTGAGCTTATTTCAGTCTTGTCCAGTGGCCGTGCTGGTCGGTGAGCCCCAATGGACCAGAACAAGAACAAGCCGCTCTTCGTCCCCTGGCTGCGGAGGCAGATCGACAGTAGACAGTACCCTGGAGTTCACTGGCTCAACCATGAGCACACACTCTTCGCCATCCCCTGGAAACACGCTCTGAGACAGGACTCCAACAGCGACGACATCCGCATATTCAAGGTAAACCTTTATACAGAAACACCCACCTTGTGCTTTTACCTGCTGGCCACTTTATTAGAAACACCCACCTTGTGCTTCCACTCACTGGCCACTTTATTTGAAACGCCCACCTTGTGCTTCTACTCACTGGCCACTTTATTAGAAACACCCACCCTGTACTTCCACTCACTGGCCACTTTATTAGAAACACCCACCTTGCGCTTCCTTTCACTGGCCACTTTATTAGAAACACCCACCTTGCGCTTCCACTCACTGGCCACTTTATTAGAAACACCCACCTTGTGCTTCCACTCACTGTAGTCCGTCTGTTGCTGTACAGTTTATCAGCCCCTCCACACATTCATCTTTGGTCAGTCTCTGACCACAGGGCTGCTGCTGTCCTGATATTGTCTGGGTGGTGGGTAAGGCTGAAAGATTAATCATGCAATAACTGCACTGTTTATTATAGCCTATATCATCAACAGCGTTAAGGCAATTTTAATCTCTCAACGTTGATCTTGTGAACTCTCTGTACGTGATTTAAACCAATCAAAAGCATCCAAACACCCCTGTGCTGTGACATCACAACCAAAACAAACTGTCAGTCTGGTGCGCTGCGTTGAGAGTTCAAGCCTCAAGCCAGGAAAACTGGATATTCTGGTCTTCTTGGCCAAAAAAAGCACAGGCCTGGATCTGTATAGAAAATAATCACAATTTGAGTCACAGTCACAAGACTGGTCAGAAAAGTCTCAAATAGAAAAATATGCAGACGCTGACCGCTGATACAGTACTAGAGGATGGATAACACAAGCTGTGCATCAACAGATGAGCTACAGTCTCTCACTGTGCACCAGCAGGTGGAGCTATAAGGCAGGGGTTCCTGATGAAGTGGTAATTGTGTCTCCAAAATAACTGTATATTTTGAGCATTTTTTGCACTGTTGCTTATTAAAATTCCTTCTCCTTCCATCCCGACTCAGGCATGGGCCCAGACAAGCGTCGGCTCCGATGGCAGGATCCAAGGCGACCCTTCGGTGTGGAAGAGGAATTTCCGGAGTGCTCTCAGAGCCAGAGGCTTCAAGCTGGAGCTGGACAACAAGAACGATGCCGCCAACCCTCACAAAGTCTTTAAGTGGCCAGAGGATGGACAGTCCGGGGGTAAGAAGTGGGATCCAGACCATCATCTAGGAAAATATTAATGAAGAGTATCACAGGGTATGAGACTTCTCATAACTAGGGACGCATGGATATGGGAATTGCAGGCTGATGCCAATGTCTGATATCTTAAATCTGCCTGGATTAACAGAGAAATATAACATTTATTCTATAGAATTAGACATTCTTGGGTAAATAAATACATCATCAGTCCAACACCAGTACATTTTTTAAAACAATTCTCTACTAATAGCGATAAGATTCCGATGTCATTGTGCATCCCTGCGCAAAACTAATAGTTCAGGTGACATTTTCTTGCTTGTATGCCTTGTTTATCACTTTCATTGGTTTCTGGCGCTAATCTTGATGTAGCCTCTTAAGCTCCTTGGAAACCACCGGTGGTTCCAAAACGCACGTTGTCATATTCTTCATAACTTTCATATTTCATAAGCTACATTCTAAAGGTGGGGGTCGTATGAGAGCTGTAACTGTCTTCTTTCCAGTCAAATAGATAGGTGATGTAATTTTAAACCCTTATAATAAAAGCTGAACTCAGTATTTTTTTTTTTTCTACTGAAAGTCGACCCATTTTTCCACAAATCTGGGCTATAAACTATAAACAGATGGCGTCTCTTCAGTGATCTGCTCTGTAAACATTATTTTTATAAAATAATACAAAGAGCGTCTAAGATTTTTGGCTTTCAGCAGTAAATTGTAAGCATATAGTAATATGTGTGATCATAAAACACATGTTCTGTTAATTTGAGGGGAGCTTTTACAATAAATAAATAAATAAATAAAAATTTGCATTTATTTCATGCAGTTACTGAATTATTTGCCTTAAGATTTGGTCATGTGAATTCAGATGGACAAACCAAAATATACCCTGGAGAATAAGAGTTTAATGTTCAGCTCTAAGCATGAAAATGCTATTAAATAAGTAATAAATGTGATATTAAATAAGAAATGGTGTTTTTTATGGAGCCATGCTGCAACACTGTCTAAGGAACTTAACTGAAAGGAACTTTAAACTGAGTAATGATGGTATGTTTGTGTTAGCTTGTTAGCTTGTTCCTGCCCACTAACAGGGCTGCGCTCTAAGTGTTGGCCTGTGGTTTGACCTTGTGTATCTTCTGGGTGTTGGCTGAGGGACCTGACCCTCCAGCAAAGCCTTAATTCTAGCTAATAACAGTTGATGTAATGTTTACTATCTGGCTGCTTAGATTAGCAGTCTGAGCAGTGCTGCTGGAGTTTTTAAACACCTCAGTGTCACTGCTGGACTGAGAATAGTCCACCAACCAAACATATCCAGCCAACAGCGTCCTGTGACCACTGATGAAGGACTAGAGGATGACCAACACAAACTGTGCAGCAGCAGATGAGCTATCGTCTCTGACTTTACATCTACAAGGTGGACTGACAAGGTAGGAGTGTCTAATAGAGTGGACAGTGAGTGGACACAGAGTTTAAAAACTCCAGCAGCACTGCTGTGTCTGATCCACTCGTACCAGTGCAACACACACTAACACACCACCACCACGTCAGTGTTACTGCAGTGCTGAGAATGACCCACCACCCAAATAGTACCTGCTCTGTGAGGGTCCATGGGGGTCCTGACCACTGAAGAACAGGGTAAAAGGGGGCTAACAGTATCAGAGAAACAGATGGACTACAGTCTGTAACTGTAGAACTACAAAGTGGACCTATATAGTAAGTGGAGCTGATAAAATGGACAGTGAGCGTAGAAACAAGGAGGTGGTCAGAATGTTGTGCCTGATTGGTGTACTTCCTGGCTCTGTTGCATGACCCTGTAAAATCAGGTGGTTTTAGGAAATATATACAAATAATAATAATGTATTGTACTTCTATTTTTTTCTTGTTTGCCCTCTGCAGAGTCACGAGAAGGATCACAAGAGTATGATGTGAGTCTTATCTATGAATTTATTCAGACGCTTTTACTAATCCGGCTTAGCTTTTTCTCCTTCAGTCTCACATTGACTTAATTTAGAATATTAATTAATAAACACACCCGTATTACGTTCTAATTACATGTGAATGTACTTTGTTTCGTTGACAGAGTGAGATTCCTGTCTGTGATGCTCTGTACTTGGCAGATGAAGAAATGTTTCCAGGTGAGAAGAACAGTGAGCATCAGCACCGTCTAATGTGCGCTGCATAACGCCTTCATACCTCACCTTTGGTCCTGCTTTGTTTCTCAGGTGGAGTCGCGCCTCCTGATTTGCTGGAGCAGTGCCTGGTGGGCCTGAACATTGGCGGAAATGAGCAAGGTACACAAAACTGACCATATAAACTTCAAGAACTTATTATTGGGTTATTGGGTTGACCCCCTAAACACAAAGGGCCTGCACATGGGTCCACATTTCAGTTCCTCACTGTCACAGCTAGTTCATAAGTAATATGAATTCATAGTAGATACTGAGTAATTTATAAAAGTGAATAATTTACAGTATGAATTAATTCATAGTAGTTACTAAATAACACAAAATAGATACTAAATAATTTATAGTTATTCCTGAATATTGTTCAGTGATTATTCAGTAATTCAGAGTAGTTACTGAATAATTCATAGTGATTACTGAATAATTTATAGTAGTTACTGATTAATTAAAAATAGTCACTAAATTCATAGATGTTTTTAAATAATTCATCGTAATTACTGAATAATTTATAGTAGTTACTGATTAATTCGTAGTGATTGCTGATCACTGTAAATATTTTATAGTAGCTACTGAATAATTAAAAATGGTTACTAAATTAATTCAAAGTTGTTTATAAAGTTTCTGCTTTCTACTGAGTAAATCAAAGTCGATGCAGAATAATTTATAATAATTATGGAATAACAGTGATTATTGATTATTATTTAAAATAGTTACTGAATAATTTGTAGTAATTACTGAATAATTAAAAGTGGTTTCTAAATTAATTCATAGTTGTTTATAAGGTTTCTGCTTTCTACTGAGTAAATCAAAGTCGATGCAGAATAATTTATAATAATTATTGAATAATTTAAAATAGTTACTGAATAATTTGTAGTAATTACTGAATAATGAAAAGTGGTTTCTAAAAAATCCATAGTGGTTACTAAATTAATTCAAAATAGATACAGAATAATTTATAGCAATTACTAAATGACTTTTAGTGATAATTCAGTAATTCTAAGTAGTTACTTAAAAAAATTCATAGTGATTACTGAATGATTTATAGTAGTTACTGAATAATTAAAAATAGTCACTAAATTAGTTCAAAGCTGTTACTGAATAATTCAAAGTAGATACTGAATAAATTTGTAATAATTACAAATAACAGTGATTATTAAATAATTAAAGTAGTTACTGAATTACTGGACAATTAAAAGTGGATTCTAAATTAGTTCATAGTAGTTAATAATGATAACTGAATAATGCATGGTTGTTACTTAATAATTCATCACGATTACAGAATAATTCAAAGTAAATATTAAATAATTTTTGGTAATTACTGAATACATTGTAGTGATTACTGAATCATTTTAAGTAGATACTCCATAAATCATTATGGCTACTGAATAATTCAAAGTAGATACTGAATATTTTATGGTAATTACTGAATACATTATAGTGATTACTGAATAACTTGTATCGACATGACTACTGAATAATTTAAAGTAGATACTGAATATTTTATAGTCATTACGGAATATATTGCAGTGATTACTGAATCATTTATAGCAGTTACTGAATCGTAAGTCTAAAGATTAATAAAAGTCACCAAACTGATAATAATAATCTTCAGTAACGCTTAAAGAATCATTTGCCTCACAGAGATTCAAATGCCTGTTGCTGTGGATGGTCAGCTCTTCATGGGGCAGCCAGCAGGGGGAGATCAGTACTCAGCTGCAGTGGCCGTTCCTGCAGTGGACAGTGCAATTGGTGAAGTGTTCCCCATTCAGGAAACCCTCAACATGGGATCGTTTTCCCCTGTTGGAGGGGCTGCTGGTATGGGACACGTTTCCCCCGCTGAAGGCGCGGTGGCTGTCGGCCAGTTTTCTCCACTGGAGGGCGCATTTGTGGGCACAGAGGAGCCAGTTCTGGGGCAGCCGATGCCAGTTCATGACACAGCCCATAACTCAGGTAAGGTATCTATAACAGGGATGGGTTACTCACCGAGCCGGGGGGGCCAGCGCTCAGGGGCCTCTGACTGCCAGGGGGATCTACTGCAGATATAAACATTAGATGAGCTCATAGCCATTGAATATCGCTGCTGTCAGAACAAAACCTCGTATCTCCATTTTTGTCGTTTTCCAGTTTTTGACATAATTTGAAAATAACTGTTGTCATTTGCATTGTGTGTAAATTTCATGATGAATGGACCAAAAGAAACGGCCCAAAATGGCTTGGAAAAAAATCTGGTTCCATTGACTTACATTAAAAGTCAAGTGGGTTTTTTGCTTCTCCTGTAAAGTTACCATTTTGGAGATGCAAGGTTTTGTTCCAACAGCAGCGATATGTACAAATAACTACATGAATGAAATAAATGGAGAAATGTAATCTGTTCTTTGATCCCTCAAGATTTATGTTATTATTTACTTATTTACTTTTTTCTCACTTAAATAGAGCAGGTGGTTGGTATTAGATTTACTTCTTTTTGCACTACAACTCGGCTTGAACGGGAAAAGAGAAGACGTTTTGCATTGCTCAAAGTGCACTTACACACCGGGAACTATTGGTAAAATCTCACTTATCAGGTCTGTCTTGCTGCATTGGTTATGTGTTGTTGTTGGAGTTTAGGGGGCCTCCAAAAGTGCTTGTGCCCGGGGGCCTCTCAAGACCATGATCCACCACTAAGGACTTCATTAGTTGACCAAAAGGCCAGATTTTAGACTGTAATGCAACTAGTCAACCTCCCTATCATCAAAAAAGACACATTTTTAGACTATAAAAGTTAAACTAACTTAAACACAAGCTACAATTAACACTTTTTAGAGTTTTTTTTTCCAATTTTCTCCCCAATTTAGTCGTATCCAGTTCCACTCACTTGTTAGGTACTCCCCCAATCACGCAATACCACCAGCGCAAGGAGGGTGAAGGCGAGCACAGGCAATAAACACAGCTGATCAATGGACCAAAAAGGGTTGACTTGTCTTCATTCTGGAATAAAATGCTTATTTTTGTGCCTTTTCCATTTTCAGGTCCCGGCCAGTTTTCAACACATTACAAGGTGACTGTTTACTACAAAGGAACCAAAGTGTTGGAGCAGCTGGTGGAGAATGATGTGGGTTTCAGGCTGGTTTCTAGGTAAGAGAGGTTCATAGTGAACTCTGCTTCGCAGGTAGCTGGCTGGTATACAGGAATGCTGATTAAATGCTGTTGTTCTTTCAGGAAAGACCCCAGTTTAATGGCAGGTGCTCTCCCGGTTCTGGAGCTGCCCGGTATAGACTCTATCCTGGACCAGACCCAGGCCATGTCAACCAGGGATATCCTGGTTAATCTGGGGGGTCTGGAGGTCAGGAAGGAGGGCGGTACAGTGTACAGTCATCGCTGGGGCGACAGCCGGGTCTACTGGGGTCTGTGTAAACATGAGCGGGGGGCTGAACCCAGGCCCCTTTCCAAAAACCAGCCTGAGCCCATCTACTACTTCAAACACTTCTGCTCAGGTGAGCGAGTGGAGTCGACTGTGGCGAGTACCTGAAGTGGTTTAGCGTTACTCATTACGCATGTGTGAATGAAGGGTTCTTACACTGCCTATCAAAAGTTTGGGCGCCACTTTTCAGAATTTTTTTTTTAACATATTGAAGACTCAACCGGGAAAACAAAACACGCATGCCTCATGAGCCGATCAGCACAAGGTCAATGCTTGCTGCAGTAAGTTAAGCTAGAATGTTAATTTCTACGGAAGACTTACACTTTTACACTGCACTTAATAGTCCTAACAAAGAAGAATTGCACATGTTTTTCAAAATATCTGCATGATTAAGTGGTTAGGATGTAAACAGAGTCGTTCAGAGTGGTTTGGTGAGAAACGCTCTGTTCTGGAGAAACTTACCAGAATTGTTCACAGTGGTGGTGATAGGAACCAGACGTCCACCTCTAAAAGCTCCCTCACAGAAAGTTACTGCAGAAAATGTTTGTGAATGTTCGCTAATGTGACACATGTAAAGCCGGGTTACACTACACGACTTTTACACCAATTTGAGTCTGAACTGTTCGGCTCTAGTCTGCAGATTTTTGGGTCAGTCGGAGTCGACAGTCGGAGAGAGAGTCGGGTCATGTTTGAGCGGCGCAGACTCAGATTTTTGGCCTCCCAATCACATTTCAGTCCAGTCGGAGTTTATCAAACAGATTTTTTTGACCCGACTCTGACCCGAGTGTAATCTAGTGTAAACTGATCAACGACTCTATCTGGACAGACTCCAGCAACAGCACATGAAAACTGAGAGTGGGAAAGAAGAAAATACAGCAAGTACACAAAGAAAAATAGTGAAAAGTCTCTCACGTGTGGAGTGAAGCTTTTTAATGAGCTGAGTTTAAGGCACAATCGAGTTTATGTACATTTAAAACTCTAAAAATACTAAACTGATCACATTTTTAAATCCATGATCCTCACTTAAACACGTTTACCTGCTGCTTCGTTACTGTTTCAGCAGAGAAAACAACAGCAGCAGCTCATGTTTGTTTATTTGCGTCTCCTAGTAACAGGAGAACGCGAGAGTTTGCGAGAGATCAGTGAGCTCCGGTTCAGCAACAGCTTAAAAGCTGAGTAGTGTGTGATCCCTAATCGTTTAGTGTGAATCCCCAATATTTCAGTCGCCCTAAAAAATCTGCAAAAACCAGTGTGACAGTGTGAGACGCCCAGTCTTTTATAATCTGTTCAGACTGTAAAAGTCGGCTTAAAGGCTTAAATCAGCAAAATGACAGAAGTGTCCCCAAACATTTGAAGGGCAGTGTACGGTTTGAAAAATGTCAGAGGAACCTGGCAGGAGCCTGTGGTCGGTGACAGACTGTGTTTCCACCAGGTTTGATGGCGTTTATGGAGAACAATCGGGCTCCATCTCCTTCGTACACCCTCTTCTTCTTTCTGGGGCAGAACTGGCCTGACCCCAAAAACAAACCCTGGGAGAAGAAGCTCATCATGGTAGAGGTAAAGATCAGACTCACTCTCTCTGTAGCATTTCTTCACCTCTCTGTCCTCACATTTGAACTTTTTTCTTCTCTTTGCCTCCTCTTCATGTCTCAGGTGGTCCTCACCTCGCTGGAGAAGCTGAAGCTGATGGCCGTGGAGAACGGCGCGTCCTCACTACAGTCTGATGAGCTGCAGCTTTCTCTGGAGCAGATGATGGAAATGTGCTGAAACGCTTTTAAGATCAAAAAGCTGGATAGAGTTAAATTATGAATTATGCACTTTTTAGAGCTCTTTTAAAGCGATGGTTCAGCTGGAACTTTTGTCCTCATCTCAGATGTGTGCAAAGTTTGCTTCTTTAGTTTTGCGCTGGAGCTACGAGGCTGATGTAGCTAACGAGTGCTGGAGCCGCCAGTGAGCCTTCCACACACTGCATGTCTAGATAATCACATATTTGCTTCAAACCCCATTGAGATTTCATTAAGCTTCTGTCACAGATGTTCACAAGTCACTTCATGCGATTCCAAGTCAAGTCGAGTCTCCGGCGTGCAAGTCTGAGTCGTGTCTCAAGTCTCTGGTGTGCAAGTCCGAGCCAAGTCTGTCACCTTGTAATCTGTTGGAGCGTCTGACGTGTGAGTCTGAGTTGAGTTTTGAATCTCTGAGTGTTAATCCGATTCAAGTCTTGAGTCTCTTGGGTTGGAGTTTGAGTCAAGTTTTGAGTCTCTGAGGTGAGTCAGAGTTGAGTCTCAAGTGAGTCTGAGTCAGTTCTCGACTATCTGCAGTTTGAGTCTGAGTCAAGTCCCGAGGCTCTGGGGATTGAATCTGAGTTTAAGTCAGTGACGATTCTCTGGGGTTTGAGTCCGAATCGAGTCCTGAGTCTCTGAGGTGAGTCAGAGTCGAGTCTCAAGTCACTCAGGTTAGAGTCCGAGTCAGAGTCAAGTCCCGGGGCTCTGGTGTGTGAGTCTGAGTCAAGTTTGAAGGGTCTAGGTCTAAGTCTAGGGCAATTTTTTGGGGTTCGAGTCTGAAGCAAATCTCTAGGCTCTGGGGTTTAAGTCTGAGACGATTCTGTGGGGTTCGAGTCTGAATCAAGTCTCTAGGCTCTGGGGTTTAAGTCTGAGACGATTCTTTGGGGTTCGAGTCTGAATCAAGTCTCTAGGCTCTGGGGTTTAAGTCTGAGACGATTCTTTGGGGTTCGAGTCTGAATCAAGTCTCTAGGCTTTGGGGTTTGAGTCTGGGACGATTCTTTGGGATTCGAGTCTAGGTCAAGCCTCAAGGGTCTGGGGTTTAAGTCAGTGACGATTCTCTGGGGTTTGAGTCCAAATCAAGTCCTGAGTCTCTGAGGTGAGTCAGAGTCGAGTCTCAAGTCACTTAGGTTGGAGTCCGAGTCAAGTCTCGAGGCTCTGTGTTTCAAGTCCACTAGTTTTAAAGAAATGTGATCTGTATCTTACTAAAACTTTTTGCTGAAAACTTCAGCTAGATTAGCGTTGCCATAGCTACAATACTTGCTATTCAAACTTCATGATAGCCAACACTTTTGCCTCGTTTCTTTAGACAACACATGCTGCATGTAGCGCTTCGATCTGGGGGTTTTCTGTAATGAAAGTCTCTTGATTTGAAGCCGAAATTAACCTGACAAGCTGCATGAGAACAGCGTTGCAGTACTGGCTGCGCCCGACTGCAGCAAACCCGACAGGCGACTTCACACACACAGGAAACGAAGGGTTTTATTCATTTACCACATTAAGGTTGGCGGCTCTACTTTAATCACTTTCAGGCTGAAATATTATGAGCCTTGAGTCTGAGTCAAGCTGCGAGTCAGTTAGACTCGAGTGCCCATCTCTGACTTCTGTTACTTGTTAGCTACATTAGCTTCATAGCTCCAAAGCTAAAGACACAAACTTCAGACTGGTCGACTGTATTTGAGGTAACAAACTGTAAATTCGATTTATGGTTGAACCATCGCTTAAAGTACAAACTGACCTGTGATCCCTGGGGTGAAAGTGTTCACTTACCTTGTTTACTGAGACGAATGCCGTGTTTCTGTGGTCATTTGTCTTCTTTCGATTAAATTCTGAGGTGAAAACTTTTCCTAAGTGGACTTTTAGGAGTGTTGTGGTATAATATTGTTATTTTTATGGATGAAATGGCAGATTTGGATGAAATCGGAGATGAAATGGTATATATTCTCATTACAGGTGTAACTATATATCACTGCTGTCGCAAAACCTCTTATCTCAAATTTTGTAGTTTTTCAGTTTTTAACAAAATTTAAAAGTACCTGTTTCTCTTTACATTGTATGTAAATTTTGTGATGAACGGACCAAAAGAAACGGCCCAAAATTACTAGTAAAAAAGTCTGGTTCCATTGACTTACATTAAAAGTAAGGTAGGTTTTTTCCTTCTCCTGTAAAGTTACCATTTTGGAGCTATGAGGTTTTGTTCCGACAGCGGCGAAATGAATTTTTTCAGTAAATACATTCCAAAAATTTCTGTCAACCCACTTAAACCACATCCAGGCCAATTAAAATTCCAGGTTAACAGCTATTTATGAAAAAGAATTAACGTAAGCCGTAAATGTGTGTCTGTGCGAAGGGGAGTCAGGTTCAGTGGGGAGTTCAGCACAGCACCCTGTTGTCTACAATGGCTGACCGCTGCATTGAGCCACACGAGTTTTGTTCATTTTTATAGCTCACAGTAAATCATACTGTGCTCTAAACCACATCGACAAGCCTGTGCCACCTTAATGAAGAGCTGGATGCGCTTTGAGCTGGTTAAGAGAAATTTTGTGGGTGTATTTAAAGAAAAGATTTGGGTGACTATTGACTTCTAGTGTTTGTTAGCAACATTAGCATCAGAGCTCCAGCGCTAAAGAAGCAAAATTTGGGCTGATCGACTACTTTTTTAACGCTCTGTTTACAAATAATAGAACTATGGAATGCACTTGTATGTAATGTATGTGCTGCACATCTTCTCAATAAAAAAGATATTTAAAATTGTGAACATAATTTACACAGAAATTAAATATATAACACAATTATTGCCAAAAGTAGGTAAACTGGAATTGTATGACGTTTAGTTAAGTGAAAGTGATGCAAGCATTTCAATCATTTAATCAAGTAAATTCAATGCAGCATGTTTTTACAGCGCAGTGAGTAAAAAATTAAGTGTAAATTAAAATTAAGTGCCTTAATTTGTAATCAGGTGCCCTAATTTGACATTGTGACTGCAAACCTATATAGTCAACCCCTAAAATATCTCAAATACGCTACTTTTTTATTTTTTAAACATCTATTTACATTTTTCATTTATTCACAGAAGTACAGATCATGTTAAATCAGATTAGGACACTTGGAACAACACATCAACACTGTCATGAACACAAAATGATGTCAAAGGGGAATTCTGCCTACTTTTTTGGAAATTCCTGTATTATTAAGTAGTTGAGATGTAAACAGAGTCGTTCAGAGTGGTTTGGTGTGAAACGATCTGTTCTAGAGAAATTTACCGAGTCAGAACTGTTCACAGTGGTGGTGATAGGAACCAGACGTCCACCTCTAAAAGCTCCCTCACAGAGAGTTATTACATGAAATGGTTATGAATTCACTGCCTGATGACTGAGACACTGATTTATGATAGTTTTGAGAAGATTTTGGCCTTAAAATTGATTCATAGTACAGGGATCCATAATATGCAGGGTGCCGTGAGGCAAAAATAGTCCCCAAAGAAAACTGATTATTTCAGATTTTCCTCTATTTTCCATCATCAACATTCCATATAAACTCAGAAGACTCGTGTAGGTTCACTGGTGGTTCTGGATAGTAAATAAAATGTCTATATCTGTGTTGTAGTCATGGCGACCCCTGGTTCCTATCACCACCACTGTAAAGACATCTGAACCATTTCACACCAAACCACTCTGAATGACCCCGTTTATCAACAATTGAATAGAACAAAAATTTTCAAAAAGTTTCACTTGTAAAGTTTGTCCAACCTCGCAACAGTAACCACAGAACGAGTTTATGGGCGGAACATTGGTAGGTCAATTTATTCAGTGTTTCAGGAGCACAGATTAGAGTTAGGGTTAGGTTTTAATTCTACCTCAGGTCATTAACTGTCTAACTACTCCACAAAGGTGACGTCACATTTGCACTGTAGAATTTAGCTCAATCTACGATCTGTCGACAGAGCCTGGAGTCGCACTGCTCACTTCCAGAAGCAGTTGAGCCGATGCAGTTACGTATATTCAGCTTCTTTTGAAACGTCATCCAGTCCAGTCTTTACTCCACGTTCTCCAAATCATCAGTGTCCTCCTCCTCTGATCCCTCTTCTTCCATTGACAGGTCCCTGAGGCCTGTCAGAGGAGTCAGCTGACCCTGAGCGTCCAGTCCCATTGGCTGAATCATGTTGTCCCTGGCAAAGAGATTGGGATACAAAGTAATAGCAGAGCTGGTTTAAGGGGCCACTTCCTATTTCTACTATTCATATCAAAAACAGAACAGCAAAACACCAGAGGGCGCCGACGAGCGAGTCCCCAATGAGTGGGAGTGAATGGAGCTAAACGACTAAAAATATCTTTCAGTTGTTTTACATCAAACTGGTTTTGGGCAGTAAGACACTAACATTACTGCTACTGAGTGCTGATTGGTTAGCATTACTGCTACTGAGTGCTGACTGGTTAGCATTACTGCTACTGAGAGCTGATTGGTTAACATTACTGCTACTGAGAGCTGATTGGTTAGCATTACTGCTACTGAGCACTGATTGGTTAGCATTACTGCTACTGAGTGCTGATCGGTTAGCATTACTGCTACTGAGAGCTGATTGGTTAGCATTACTGCTACTGAGTGCTGATTGGTTAACATTACGTTAACATTACTGCTACTGAGAGCTGATTGGTTAACATTACTGCTACTGAGTGCTGGGTAGTTAGCATTACTGCTACTGAGTGCTGATTGGTTAGCATTACTGCTACTGAGCGCTGATTGGTTAGCATTACTGCTACTGAGTGGTTAGCATTACTGCTAGTTTTAGTGCAGTGCTGTGTTGGTAGATGGAGCCGAACTCACTTGGAGAGCTTGTTGATCAGGCTGACGAGTCTGCAGGCCTCCTCCTCTTTCTCCTCCTCCGTCATTCCCTCCATCGGGTCAGGCTGCTCCTCCTCCACACTCCCCGTCACCGGGTTTATCCGCCCCTTCACCTGCCGGTACTCATCAGTGTCCGAATCCGAGTCGCTGGAGTACTGCGTCCCTGATGATGTGCTGCCCTTTGACCTCTGCCCTCCCAGCAAGCCCCGTGTGGCCAAGAGGCCTGCAGCGTTACCGTAGCCAGTGTACTTCACAAAGCGGCCGACTGGACACGACAGAAATAACGCGAACGTTGTTCACCAGTTAGATGGACTCTAATAATTAGCTACCACTGTTTTAGCTGTGACGTAGCTACAGTATCAGAAACCACATAATCAGGTCTGTTAGAGATCACTGAGCAACTGAACAGGTCTGAGCCCAGTGTGATGACTCAGTCACGCAGTTAGCACCAGGCTAATTGGTGGGTTATTCAGCTACATTAGCCTCGTAGCTCCAGTGTAAAACTAAAGAAGCTGCATTCAGACATCAAACAGTCTCACTGACTATGTCTGATGTAAATAATTATTAGATTTTTAGCTGAATTATCGCTTTAACACATTTACGTTCAGTTTACTAACACAGCTGTATTCGTTCAGCAGCCTGTTACCATTTTCCTTGCAGAGCACAAAGAGCAGGTCAGCGGCGCAGTGTTTCAGCTCAGTGTCCAGGTGGGTCATCAGTCTGACCAGGCGGCTCTTCACCGTGGTGCCCTGCTCTGGTCTCACGCTCGCGTCCCTCAGCGGAGGCAGAATCTGACAGCATTCAACACACAGTGTGAGACGGTGGACACTTCAACCATTTTACAGTACAATTATAATACACAATACAGGCCTAAACATTTTTAATGTTTAATAAAAATAGCAGTAAAATAAAATATTATAATGGGTAATATAAACACAGCAGGTCAATTATTTGTATTACATTTTTAATGACTATTAATGTAACTGCTATTTTAGATAAATATTGTTTTTCACATTCACATTTTTTGTAATATATTACATGTGCAGATATATATATATATATATATATATAAATGGTAACACTTTCTATGAATGTCACCTTTGTAAGTATCTATAAACACATTCATAACATGTTATAATGCATTCACAAGACATTATAAACATAGTTATAAATATTTATAAAAATGCATTATATATTATAGCCATGTTTATTAAGCATTATGAATTGTTAACATAATGCATTATAAGTACTGATCATAACAAATTATAAGCGCTCATAAGTTGTATTTGTCCGCTCTAATTAAAGTGAAGCGTTCACTTTCCAAGCTGGGACTGACTTCTTTGGCACTGACATTATAACATGTTATTAACACTATTTATAATGCATTATATTAACAATTCATAATGTATAATAAACATGGCTATAACATGTAATTCAGTGTAATTCTTTTTTATAAATATTTATAACCATGTTTATAATGCCTTATGAATACATTATAACATGTAATAAATGTGTTTATAAATGCTTACAAAAGGTGACATTTATAGAAAGTGAAAAAAAACATATATATATATATATATATATACAATTAGTAATATAAATATAAATATATGTACATAAAATGATTGAATAAAGAATTAAAAATGTAATAGAAATTATTATAGGAGTAAATCTCAAATTACATTTTAATTATTATATTTTTACATATATATATATATATATATATATATACATATATATATATATGTGTGTAATACAGTTAATAATTAAAATTAAAACAATTATAATAATTTAAAAAAGGCTAAAATGGAATTTTATTACTACTGAAAATGGTTAAATAATAATATTAATATGCTGAATTAGGTTGTGGTTGAAACACCCTTGATTTCAGCTTCGTCATCTCTCCAAAATTCATGTTATTTATGAGAATAAGCTGCTATCAGCCTCATTCACACTGTCAGTGTTATTGTGTGTAACTGCAGCTGATGTACAGTACAGTACAGTAAGCGTGTGATGTCTGCATTGCCTGTTGTCTGAGGTAGCGGCGGGTTCCTCTGTGAGCTCTGGAGCACTCAGTGAGCAGATTCAGCACAGGGGTCAGCCTCTCCTTCACCTTCTGACCCTGCACAGCCATCACCACACGCTCTATTACTCACAGTATCAATGCACAGCGTCAACAGACCAACCCCACTCTCAGAAACAAAGGTAGACTCAAGGCTCCATCTCAGTTGCTTCAGTCAGGGAACATAACTGAACCATAATCCACTGAAATGATATGTTCTAAGCTGTACTGACTCCACACACCCCGTCTCGCCTCCAGGCTTTTATTTTACTGTTCTGTTTCAAAACATTCGGTTATGAAAAGGTACAAATACGAACTTTTCACCTGGAAACACTTATTTAAGGTTCACAATCAGACCTTAAAACCACTGTTGGAGCTTTGAGGGAACATTTACACTGTTTGTACCTTGATGAACGAAAAATGTACCTGAACAGAACCTTTATTTCTAACAGTGTACAGAGAGCCTGTAAACAACAACAACCAGTTTATAAACTATATAATAACAAAGACCTGATTGGACGGCTGCTTGTTATGATCTTGGTATCATCTAATTTTAGTCATTTATTTTGATCAATTGTTGGATGTTTGATTTGTTGGATTTTTCCTCCTTATTTTTTTTTGTTTTTTAAAATAACTGTAGTCATTTTTAAATTTGGCTTGTTTTGCTTGTGCTTGTGAGCCAGTCTCTATGGAATATATATATATATATATATATATATATATATATATATTTATTTTTTTTACACAAAATCATTTCAGATGCTTACGGGAACATATTTTCTAGGTTAACAGTGACTTATTATTTTGGGATTTGCTTTCTCTTTTGACAAGAACCACATTCAACAACCA